TGAATTGTGCAATGGAGACATCAGATTGCAGAGTGTGCCATTGCACTCGTACATTTTAATTTCATAGAATTAAATTGGCATACCATGTAAGTAGAATGTGAGTATTACAATTTCTGCATATAAAGGCTCAATGCAAAAAATCGAATGTGTGAAAAAATGAAGAGACCCCATTGTGTATAAGTCATACTTCAACACCGACAGCAATTTTATGACAAAATTTTCAATTTATTCATTAAAAAAAAACATCACGTATGAAAAAAATTCAATAGAAAACCTAGCGTATTCGCGAGAAAATTCTATTGGAATTCTATGGGGTTTCTATAGGATTTTGATTGGATTTCTATTGAAAAATTCCATTCGTATTTCGCGCTGATTCTATTGGATATTCGATAAGAAAAAGTCAATAGATTTCAAATTTCTATTTGAATTTTTCTCTTGAGATTTTTTCTATAAGAATGTTTGGGCTTCAATTTTCTAAGTTTTTTCCACTCGAATTCTGCAATGCAAAACAAAACAAAATCCAGCGGAAAAAACTTAGAAAATTTGTGCCCATTAATTCTAATAGAAAAAATCTAAGAGAAAAATTCAAAGACAAATTTGAAATCTATTGACCTTTTCTTATAGAAATCCCATAAAATTCCTTTAGAATTCCAATAGAATTTTCTAGCGAATTCGCTAGATTTTCTATTGAATTTTTTCATGCGTGATATACTATCCCGAACTCGATTCCAGATTAGTGGATTATGATTTTCGTGAATTCCACATGCTCCATTTATGCCTGTCAAATTGCAAATTGAACATTTGCAAATTACACCTATACAATGCGCACTCGGATTGCACAATGAACAATTGCATTCGTACATTGCAATTTAATAATATTGAATATGTAAATCGCACTATTAAAAATATGAGGATTGCAATTCCTGCAGACAAGGCTTTAATGTGAAAAACATCACATATAAGGAACTAGTCAACTCAGCGACCTATTTTTATCGATGTCCTCAAAAAATCTGAAATGTTTATGTACTTGAAAACTGAATGGATACGGAGATGTCGTTAATTCTGAGTTGATAATTGATTTTTGAGTTCAGTTTTGAATGTTTAAATAATATTTTTGTGGATATTGCCAGCCATAAAATTTGTATTTTTTCTCCAGCTTTTCAACAAACATATTTTCAGATTCTTTAAATCAATGAAAATTTTCAAAAACTTGGTGACTGAATTCATAGAGTCAATGATTGGTTAACAAATGAAGAGAGGCTATTGTGTGCAACAGAACATTGTATCAAGCAGTACTGTAAATAAATACTGTAAATATAGTAAATATGAGTTGTGACGTTGAATAAAAACATGGTTAAACAAAGAAAAGTATTTTTGTCGAGAAAAAGCTGTCGGTGTTAAGGATGTACTACACCCTTTCAGCCAAAATTCACGTTTTTTTCATTTTTCTGGCAAATTATTGATCGGATTGACGCGAAATAATATACCGTTTTTGCGTTTTATCATTATTGACTGACTCACGAAGTTTCATGGTAGTGCAAATGTAAGAAAAATATTTTCTTACATTTTTTCTAAAGTTTTATGAATTTCCGAAAAGTTTTAGAAAAGACGCAGGAAAATGATTGCAGGATCATGAAATTTCGTGAGTCATTAATTAATGATAAAACGCAAAAATGGTTTATTTTTCACGTCAATCCGATCAATAATTTACCAGAAAAATTTAAAAAACGTGAATTTTGATGAAGGGTGTAATACATCTTTAAAGTAAACCGAAAAAAAATTTGCATCAATAAACGCAAACCTTTCATTCGCAAAAAAACAATTGAATGATGAAAATGTTGTTACTCTCCGTTCATAATAGAAAATGACTTACACAACGACAATACGTTGAACCAGCATTGCCGAATACTTTTCTGGCAGCTAGAAACGCTAATATGTTTACACTGCCTCACTCCTCGTGCCTCTCATCAATCACTGACACAAAGTGTCAACCCAGTATTCATCCAACCGTCGCAGTTACGTTTTGTTTCTAGTCTCACTGTCCCATAACTTACCGCAGTAACTTCGACTGTTAACCCTTTACAAAATCATTCACCGTGTCAAGTATCTCGTTTCTTTTTCAGCAGACAACATCAGAACATAATTGACTTGGCAATTTGCTAGATTTCATAATGAGTTCATTTGACGAATGAAAATAATAAGACGATAGATTGGCACTAAAATATTTGTATTTAGTGTTCACGTAATTAATCACATAATACTTTTCATTAATTTAGCTAATGATGATATGGACAAGATTCACATTGTATACAATTTATTAAGGCACTTAACAAACCCTAAGGGGGTTTTTGTCACGGTACGTTTACATTACATCTACGTCTTTAGGAGCGTGTGGCGCACCAAGTTTTGGCTCGTTTGGCATTTGAGACAACCACCCAATATAAATAGACCCACTTTGCTCCTACAAAAGGCACTTTGTTTTCCAACTCAACCGTGTACAATGAGCACGGCTTGTGTGATTCCGTGATCTTGAATATTTTGTCACACTTGACATTTTTTTCCCCTACCCTATCTTTGGTTCATCTCCACATATTTTAGGCGTAAATGATTTTTCAAGAGCCAACATGACGTAATAAATATTTTCTCGTGAATAGTACGATTGATCGAGGTGATCAATGTCCCAGAATCATCTCTTCGGTATGATTTATTTGCTAGGGCATGTGTTTTTGATGGTATGATGAAACTGCGTATTACTCCAAGGTAACAAGGTTTAAGAATAAATACTGACTTTAGCGTCGATCTTATTGCATTAGTGCAATTGACTGGGCGTATTCGCTTATAAGTTATGAGTCTTCAATTTAGGAGAGACTAAGAGCAAATTACATTACTTTAACAATATGACTATGGTAAATACTCTGCTTCGGGAAATAACATTTTACGTGATTTAGAAAAAAATGTCGTCAACAAAAATTGGATGAAAAATATATCCAAGACGTTACGCTTTAACGCTCATAGGAAGCATTACATTGCAAACGGCATAATGTACACTGAGAAAAAATATTTCTGCCACTTGAATATTTATTTGTGAAAAGTAAATTATTTTCCAAAGATGCAATTGAAATTAGCTTCTATGTATGATAATTATGATTATAGAATAATTAGGTTGCCCACAAGCTTGAAAAAAAGATTTCAATAATCACCAAAATTAAATATCCCGGCCTCAATCCCTGACTTGAAAAAATCAGAAAGGTGAATAATGATGGACGAAGTTCATTCAAGGTCATATACAACATAATAAGCCTTACGTTTGAGCACCTGAAGAAAACTGGTCTGCAGAATTGCATCTTTGAAGAATAATATACTATACTAATAAAAAATACTGATTCAAGCCGACATCGGCTTGACTCTCGTCGATTTTCGACTTGATTCAAGTCGAATGACTCGGACTACACCAATTCGGATTCCGGGTCTGATATGAGCCGAAAAGTGGTTTATTTCGAGAAGAAATATCTCCAGCCAGCATCGGTTTGAATCAAACCGCAAAATCGGCTTGAATCCTGTCGAAGAATCGGCTTGAAGCAAGCCGAAAAACGGAATAATTCACGCCGAAATGCTGCCTGTTCCAGGTAGTAGATTGCAATTTGATTCAAGTTGATTTTTCAGTCTGTCCTTTTTATGAGAGTGACATTACGTTCGATTCACGGGGAAAATAATCATGAAATTTTAAATTTGACAGATTATTCCCTCGTCTGAATGTCAACCAATAGAAATTCAGCATTTGACTTTCTGCGGTGGTGGAGAGGGGGGTGGGGGGTAGAATTATTATTTCCATTTAGTTGCATGGCCACCTTGGATGAAGATTTTCTGTTAAAATGAATGAGGATCTGGTATGAATGTGGCTTCAACCCGCGAAAACTCTTCCCTTTTTCCATCAATGGAATCCCACTTCAATAACCCCTCCCCCTATATAAAATCTACATAAGACCCCGATTTAGAATTCTCATCCGTCAACTAAATCTACCTTTTACACCCCCGCATATAAAAACCTCTGGTGTCATCCAATGTTGATGAAAGCCTTCGATCAATCATGCTGAAGAATCGACTTGAATCAGGCCGTAAAATCGACTTGAATCAACCCGAAAAATCTATTTGGATCAAGCCGATAAATCGATTTGGATCAAACTGAAAAGTCGACCTGAATCAAGTCGAAAAATCGAATTGAATCAAGCCGAAAAGTCGACTTGAATCAAGTCGAAAAATCGAATTGAATCAAGCTGAAAAATCGATTTGAATCAAGTCGAAAAAGCGATTTGAATCAACCCAAAGAATAGACTTCAATAAAGTCAGACTGAACGTGAATCAAGTCGAAAAATCGACCGATGTGCCGGTTTTCATCTCTCCGAGTCAGACTTAATTCACGCCATCTATTCGAAATGAAATCAGTCGATTGCCGGGATGATTCAGTCCAACTTGATTCATACCGATTTTTCGAATTGATTCAGGACGACTTTTTTTTGGTATACTGTCAAATGAATATTTATTTGAAAGAATAGTATTTTTCCGGCCTGTTGCGATGGGGTTTTCTACTCGTGTGGCGTTGGCCTCCGAGCCGTAGGCGAGGACTGGCCAACCACACGAGTAAAAAAACCCCATCGCAACAGCCCAGGAACAATATTTTTCTGTAGTGATTTTCAAGTTTTCGAGTTTGGGAAGTATGTAATAACAATTCGCAGACGAGAAATCGTGAGAAGCAGTACAGAAAATGATCTTTTCGTCAGTCATATAGACATTTCCAATCATGTATAACTTATTGACATTAATTACTCTCTAAAATAGGAAAGTGCATATGTGATGTTCTCCATCCAATTTTCGTGTTCTGACCTTTAAATTAATAAAATACATTAATGCAACAATCCAACTGCCGAATGAATGGTTCTTTGGTATTTTATACTCGAAACTTCAGCCTCATGTTTTTTTTGCATTTCCGGTAATAAAAGATATTATCGAGGACCATAAAGAGGAGCTCCATGGTGCGGATGATGGGGGGAATAATGTCCGGCGACATTGATGTGCGCCGTTTGATGGTGTCCCGGATAATTCCAATGTGTTGCACTGCTGTAAAACTGATGGTGATGGTGATGATGATCCGAACTCGATATTGTCGCTGATATAGGCATCGTTTGAATAGAACTCTGATAGGTACTCTCGGTTCCAACGGGGGTGCTACCTGTTGCTGGTCTCTTTGCTGGATTCTGCGAGGGGACACCTGTGGAGCTTGCAGAGTCACAGTCGTCTGGCTCGCAGTCACGGAAACCCTTTGCAAATGGATTGCTAGCGATTTTTAATTGAGTTATCCGATGATTTTGATAGGCTGTTACAGCGGTGAAACGTGTCTCGGAGAAGGAAAATGTTTTAAAATTTTCGGTTCGCGGATCTGGACCAGATCCCGGGGGTGAAGGGGCTACCACTATGTGACAGCGAGGTTGATATCTATGCATTGAATTTAAGATTATCTGGAACATAAAGAAAAACTAAATGACGCGCTGGACTTTTTTCATCGAGGAAAAGCATTGCTTGAAAATACATTTGCGGCGAAAAAATTTTTGCAGAAAAAAACCATAACAATAACGTAAAAATTACATTCTAAAGCCGGAGCCTGGAGCATAATTTTGATTTCATAAAAATGATTGTTTCGAGTCGAGCGAATAAAATTAGTGAAAAAATCTTGCGATCTAATTTGGTTTTGCATTCGTAAATTACGATGATTTATTCCGTACTTTATACTTATTTATCTGTATATGGAGCAAAAAGTTGGAGAAAAAAATACAGAACAAGTCAAGCAATCGTGGAGCGAACTCGATGTCCAGTACTTTTTCAGTCTATATCGGGGAAAAAGTGCAAGACAAATAGTGATTTTTTCTCCGTTGCCCCGGGAAAATTTACTGAACGTGAGGGTAATTTGAGCCGAAACTAAAATTTAGGAGTAAACGAAAAGACACCTTTCGGCACGAGGTGAACGTAGCAGCAGCGTCAAAAAAATTTTTTTGTGATACCTGCCTCAAACGTGCACTTTTCGAAACAGTATAGCGCCCCTCAAAGCGGTTGTTTTCCGCACGAAGTGCGTAATAATATATTTCGATATGAGTGCGGAAAAGTGTTTTTTGGCTTGTGGGAGGAGCACGAGCCGAGAACGAGTGATATAATCCCACGAGCCAAAAACACGTTTCCCATGAATATCGAACGATATTTTTCATCACAATGTACGGAAAAAGGACATTGCAGGCACGCGAAGCGTGCCTATAAAGTTAATTTTTCGCACAGCCTAATGAAAAGTAAATTATCGTGCATAAAGCTTCGCTTTACGCACTCGAAATTCACTTTGCGCATGCTCTTGAACTTTACGTACTCGTCCACAAAAACAACCACATTACTCCCACTACTGTTCAGAACAGTGAACTTGGCAGGTATCACAAAAAATAGGATGTGTTACGCGTGCGTGTGAAAAAGTGGAGTTTTACGCACCAGTGACACAGTATTCTATCACACACCTTCCACGGGTCAAAATAGTATATTGTGTTACTACACGGAGAGGAAAACTAAATTTTAAAAAATTACCAAAAAAAAACGTAAAAATTACGCTTCGAAACATAATTCGCGAGTGAAGTAAAATTCAATAAAATTGTGAATCGGAACTGAAATTACGATTTGGTCCGTAAAAATTAACCACTCGTCTGATGACTCACCGCTGTGGGGACAACAAGTCGTTCCGGAATTTTTCAGCTTCAAAAATTGTTGAACGTTCAAGAATTTTTGATTTTGGAGGCATAATAAGTCGGGAAGTTTTTGTGAGATTTTACTTCTTGGGGAAAAATTACGTGACAAGTTCGTACTTTGTTCGGTGATGAACCTGAAAATTCACTAAACGTTTCAGATTTCTTCTCTTCCCTTTCTATAAAAATTACCGGATAACGATTCCCCATTGCGGATTACGTGAATTGTTCCATAATTTTTACTGAATATTTCTCTCTGTGTAGTGCGTAAAGATCCACTTTTGCGTACGCACGTGTAACACATCCTATTCTTTGTGATACCTGCCGAGTTCACTATTCGGACCGGTAGTGGGATAAAGCGGTTGTTTTTGTACACTAGTAAATCTTCGCTTTACGCACACTAAACCGTTTCGAAAAGTGCACTTTTCAGTCAGGCATCACAAAAAACACTTTTTCATCACTTCCCCTTGAAAGATTTTACCGCTTCACTACTGAAATTTTCTGAAGAATTTCTCTCCGCGTATTAATCTATCAATTGATTCAAAAACTCGATAATTCACCCTACAAATAATGCAAGTCAAGATCGAAATGAAAAACTCAGATGATTTCAGCTTGTCCCTTCTCCATCGCTATAAAACTTTTTTCCCTTGAAAGACAAAACTGAAGGACGGAAGAAAGTTATGATGAATTTTTTATTGCATCTGCTTAGAAAAAAAAACAGAAAATAAAAAAATTAAAAGAATAAGAAGAGAGCACACATGAGGAGGAAGAGAAACCACAGGGGGCGGCCACGATGTTTGACAGACTGAAGCGTCCCAGTGACTAATTAGTGTAAAAAGCGAACCCTCCGAAGACGAACCCTCCATGATGCCCCAAGTGTTGTACGACTGAGATATCCCAAAGCAATACGACACCCTCTCAAGCACACGTGCTTCCAAAGGCTCTCCTACACACGTGGTAGGTCGTTTGGTGAAACTCATGAACAAACTTTGAGGATTTTCGAGTGAAAGCGACACCCCGCTGCTCTGTTTTTATTTTGTGTGGCCCGTGAAAAGTATTTTCCAAGATTGAAACAAAAAAAATTTTCTACCTCCTTCTCGGTGTTTATTTCCGAGGAGAAGAGGCGGAAACTGATGGGCGATCTGGTGCGTCAATTAAGGACGAAATTTTAGCTCTTTTTTTCCCGCGGCGTTTCACGGCTCGATTGAGTAGGCTTTAAGCATACCACCACATTTTTCATCCTCATGTGACAAAATGAAAAGCAAAGAGCAAAGGAAAGAAATTCAAATAAATTTGTTCCGTCTGAACGCTCGGAATTTCCGAAATTCCTTTCATCCCCTATGGCGCCTACTTCTGTCAATTAAAAGTGATAACGAACGCCATCAATGAGCGCAATATTATTCTTATTTTTATTCTTTGTCATTGTTGTAGTTATTTTTTGTTTCCGAATGGAAGCTTTGTAATCGTTCAAATTTAAGGTTCCAATTTTTTGTGTTAGGGCAACTAAATATATGGCCTGAACGGTCCAAATATGCGATTTTTAGATGGTGTCTGTATGTATGTAGGTATGTATGTATGTATGTGGTCTTTTTTCTTCCTTTTCACGTATGAAAAAATTCAATAGAAAACTTTAGCAAATTCGCTAGAAAATGCTATTGGAATTCTTTAGAAATTCTATGGAGATTCTCTTAAAATTGTAAAGTGGCCTTGCGGTCAATAAAGTTCATCAATTCGTTAAAAAAAAATTTGAGGTCGCAACGTCGACCCTGATCACATCATTTTAATAAATTGATAAACTTTATTGACTGCAAGGTCACTTAAAACCTTTATAATTCATTAACACCATCACTAGTCAACATTTAATAATTCTATTAAAATTCTCGTTAAAATTCTATTCGTTTTTTGCGCAGATTCTATTAGATATTTGATAGGAAAAAGTCAACGGATTTCGACTTTTCTGTTTCAATTTCTCTCTTGAGATTGTTTCTGTTAAACCTATTGGGCACGGATTTTCGAAGATTTTTCCGCTACATTTTGTTTTGTTTTGCATGCTCAAGTATTCTTATCGAAAAAATTTCAGGAGAATATTCATATAGAAAAATTGAAATCTATTGACTTTTTCCTATCAAATGTCTCAGAATAAGCACAAAAAACGAGTAGAATTTTAACGAGAATTCCCTACAATTTTAATAGAATCCCAATTGAATTTCTAGAGAATTCCAATAGGATTTTCTAACGAATTCGGCAAATTTTTCTATTGAATTTTTTCATACGTGTTTTTTATCGAAATTTTCTTCTACGGGATCAATCCAATTTCATGAATTTTGTTCACACAGATTCGAAAAAATTGATATTTTTCCAAAATCGATTTTTCCATAATCATTCAAAAAATTATCAGTTGTAATACCCCGGGATCTTCAAAATTATCGGATATTTCCCAAAAGTTTGGTTGTAAACAAACGAAGATGTCAAGTTTCCCTCGTGCTGTGCACTTGGAATTTTCAGCATGCAAAACTTGATACTCTCGTTTTTTTGCAAAGAAGCTTGAGGGTAATATCTGATGAATTTTGAAGGTCGAGGAGTATTCGAAGGAGAATTTCCTCTATTCTGATTTTGGGCGAACAGAATGCGATGTTCGGGATTACGGGAGACTTTTCATCAAAATGTGGAGAATATCTGTCAAAAGAAGGGAAAACAATTCGAATTCGGAAAAAATAGACCACGGAAAAAATAGACCAAGGAAAATTTTCAAATTAGGTGGGTTTTAGCACGTTTTGAGAGTGTGGGCTATTTTTTCTTGATCTATTTTTTCCGCCTATCAAGCAATTCAGCAGCAAAGAGGTAAACCGGGTTGAGTTGATTTTGACCTCTGGCCAGTTCTTCATGAATATCTCGGAATCTAGAAGAGATAGAAAAATTGTTGTGACCTTTTTTGTAGAGCCAATTGAGAGTCATAAAAAAGGTCCCAAGAAAAATTTTGATATCTCTCTTAAATTCCGACATATTCATCAAAAACTGACCAAAAGTCAACATTGACTTGACCCTATTTACCGCTTTGCTACTGAATTGATAGGCTATACGCAAAATTTTGATGATAGTACTAGGACATGAAAAAATAGGAGAGAAAAATAGTGAAATAAGAATCTCAAAAAAGAAAACCCATTCGGAAGCTAATTGCTAATTTGTTAGCAACAATTACTATACTCATTTACAAAAAAAATGCCATTGTCCACTTGTCTCATTATGAATTGAGTTCAACAAATGGGTTAGTGGAGAATGAATATCGAGGCCGTGGCCCGATCGCGCTGACATTCGCTAAATTCCTCACTCGGCTTCGTTAGCTGTAAATGTCACAATCGTATACAGTTTCTTTCAATCCACACCAAATGTTTACGACAGCATTATTTATGTTTTCTCTACTCTACATGTGCGAGTTTGAGGGAGCCAACGCACACTGACGTCTCGTCTTTCATCATAACAATTGGGGAATAGAATGTTGAGAAAAATGATTTCCATAGTTTTTTGGTCAACACGAAATTTTGGGAGAAGCGGAGGCGCGGGAGAGCATTACAATAATTTTCATGAAGGGGTTCAGAGTAGGCTCGTATCTCAGGTCAATTAAGGGGAACTCGTCCGAAACGACAAACACGTGGAACCGAGAGCAATATATACACACGCCGTATATTTTATGTCCCATATCTCTCGTTGTACTCTCAGTATTTATTACAATTCGGAAATAGAAGCTTTTCGCTGCCATATAAAAATCAGCCATTTGCTTCCGAATGGATTAATCGAATTAAAACAAAAAATTACATATGCAGCTTTCTGTCATTAATTTCAGATTTGTAGGGATCCTTCCTGAAGTTCAACCTTAGGAAAATTCAATAGTATTTTTTTAAAGACAATTTGCCATAAAATTCTTAAGTGAACTGAATTTATTTTAAATTAGACAGATTGTGTGAAAACAAAATGAATGTAAAATTTGATATCACAAGAGTTCATGCCCTTGATGCATCAATGTTGATGTCTCCTCGGTGATAAGTAAATTATTTAAATTTTATTTTTCTCCTGAATAGGTGTCCTTAAACTGGACTTAAGACCAGTATGACTTTTTTGCTGATGAAATAGCAATTTGCTTCTGAATGGTAAAATGGGGAGGAAAATATACCAGTTATGAAACCTTAATATGATCCCTAAATGTCCCAAATGTCTAACATGCGCTCCATATGCCCTGGTTAAACATCTAACAGACGTCGACTAAATTAAAATTGAACTGGTTTAAACTTCCACTGAATATTGATTAAACCTTGGTTGAACCCTGATTAACCTCCGACTAAATCCCGACTAAACTATGATTAAACCTCGATTAAATGATTCCTAAGGCTATAATTTCAAAGCAAATGATGCGATCGCCACTATCTTCGAACTCGACTGAGATAACATCCAAACGAATATTTTAACCCATAATTGAAAAGATTTCGACGATTGTTTTTTGAATGATCGTTGAAAAACTAAATTTCAAAAAAGCTCACATACATGCATACATACATACATAGGGACATGATCTAAAAACAGCATATTCGACCTCCTGAGGCCAAAATTAGTCATCGTCACACAAAAAAAAATGGAAATTTCGCATTTGACGAATACAATGCTTCCATGCGGAAGCAAAATCATTAAGGTTTTTCATTCACTCACATGTCCATTGTCATCCAGCTGATTATTCGTCAATTTGAGCTTATCGAATGTCACTGGCTGTTTCATCCAGTGTGCACCATTCGCAGGGCTGTCAGGATGCACGTGAATCCTTGGTGGTGATACAGGGTCCGCTCGGCCAGCGACCACCCATGCACTGCTGTGAAATGCATATCTGTACCTCTTGTCGTCACAGGGGACGAAATCCATGACGAGAAGGTAGTCTGTGTTTGGCTCTAGACCGAATAGTCGACACTAAACAGTTCGAAGGAGAAAATCCAGCCTTATTTTTTTGTAAACGCATAAATTCTTAATGTAAATCATAATTTCCACAGAACTAATCATTTTAATCAACGCTCAATTCTTCTATAACACACCGAGAGCAAAAACAGCATGTTCTTAAACAAGTTTGCTTGAAACTAAGAAATCGCAAGTTAGAAATTACCGCACGGATGAAAGAATTTAATAGAAAAACCTAGCGAATTCGTTAGAAAATTCTATTGGATTTTTACTGAACTTTCTATTAGTTTTTGGTAGATTCTATTGGAATGTTCAATAGAAAAAGTCAATAGGATTCGATTTTTCTATAGAATTTCCTCCGCTCAAATTTTATAAGTTTTTTCGTTTGATTTTCTTGACAAGAAGAAAAAAAATAGAATGAAAAGAAAATTAGAAAATATTGCACACAATTATTATTTTTTAACATTTGATGTGTGTTAATAAATAATTTAAATTGGTTATAGTTTCAGAGACCTTACTTTTTAGGCATGAAATCGATTTCTGGTAAAATTCTGAATATGAATAGATTTGTTACGATTCCGAACAAATGATTTTTATGTTGAAAAAGTCATTGTTTATAAAAAAAAAAAAATTCTCTCGTATAACCTTCCGGGTTTTTACGATTTGTTCCCTTCCCACCTCCAACCCCCTGTACCCCATTCGCTGAAGGACAAGGGAAAACTTCATAAGAAGAAGGTAGGGCAAAGCGGAATGTTTGTCATCGACTCAAAATCCCAATATCTCCAGTCATAAACCAAAATATTGAAAAGTGAAGTCGACCACTGAAAAGGCACGATCTACCGTGAATGATCCTCCTCTTGAGTCAAATATTTCGTTGTTAGGAGCAGAGTGATTATTGATTGTTGATATTTTCATATGTTCAATGGAATACCTATTACTAACCTATTACTATCTATTACTAACTTTCAACTTACGATTTTGTTCATTCAAACCAGTCTTGTGCGTGAGCATGTTCTTTTGCTCTCGGCGTATGTCAAATATCCTCGATATGTTTCATATATCTACACTGATAGACGGATTTAGTTGCTGTTAACGAGGCTTCTTAACTATTACCACTATTCGTTAATAGTTAACGAGTGACACTTCACTATTATTAACTATGTTTGCCTATTACCGCTATTTATTGATAGTTAACGAATCGTGGTAATAGTTTACACCAGTAAGTTAACAAGGCTTCCCAACTATTAACACCATATGTTAATACTTAACGAATACCACTTAACTATTCCCACTATTCTTAACTATGTTCAACTATTACCACTATTTGCTAATAGTTAATGAATCGTGATGATTGTTAAGAACAGTAAGTTACCGAGATTTCTTAATTGTTACCACGATTCGTTAATAGTTAACAAATACCACCTAACTATTGCCACGATTCGTTAACTATTAACAAATAGTGGTAATAGTTAAGAGCAGCAAGTTAACGAGGCTTCGCAACTATTAACACTATATGTTAATAGTTAACGGATACCACTTAACTATTCCCATTATTCTGAACTGTTTAACTATTACCACTATTTGTTAATGGTTAACGAATCGTGGTGATTGTTAAGAACAGTAAGTCACCGAGGCTTCTCAACTGTTACCACTATTTGTTAATAGTTAACGAATCGTGATAATAGTTAAGCTTTTCTATCAGTGTAGAAAGATTATCAGAAAAAATTTTCCACGTCACTCAACACGCAGAAGCGCTCCCTCAAATTGATTTAACATATTTCGTTTTATCATCGCTCTAATTTACTGCTTCACTAAGTAATAATTATTCCAGATTTTTCTAGTAACCTGAAAGGTGGGGAACATTCTCCGTCCGGCTTTGGTAACAATCATCTCCGTTCCAAGCTGATGAAACTCTTCCCAAAGAGGTCTAGCCTCGAGCGCGGCGCCGGCGCCAGCGAGTGCCGGATGAAGCGGCCGCTTAGACCGATTTTCCTCCGTTGAAGCTGTCGAACTCCCCACAACTTCATCACTCCTGTGATTATTATTATCGTCATTTCGTGTGACTTCTGGGGTTGCAGACGTTGGAATCGCTGTTGACGATCTATCGGGACTTTGTGAATGTTTAACCCTTCCGGCGGTCTCGAGACACGCTGTAAAAAATATTTCCCGTACAAATTCCCGAATACGGAGATATTCAAAGTATCACTGAACAATGCAAAGAAACCCTCTGAAATGTTGCGCTAAGTGCATCGCAACTTGAAGGAATTAAAGGGAACTCGGTCGGCTAAAAGAATTCGTTTAGTACGGTTTAAAATTGGATCATTCGAACAACTGTAATCTCTCACCGAAAAAAGAAAGATTCTCATTGAAATTAAAGTTTTATTGCAAGGATTCAATCAGTATTGTTTGAAAGTTCAAAGAGACATGGGTATTATTGAAACAGTTGCGAAATAAGTAGACTAAACAGGTCGAAGTCGCACATCTCATTGAATGCACTTTGGAAATTTGTTTATTTGGATTAAATAAACGGATTTATTCAAAACACTCGTAATAAAGCATTCATTGAAACGTGAACTTGATTTTTATTTGTGTTTTTATATACGTCAAATGAATAGCTTTCTCAATATTATAGTTGGAAATGAAATCGTTTCGTAATAATCCTCTATTCGGATCAGAAAATTAGTTAATTTATTCTAATTGAGGATTTATATGGACCGAACCAATTATTTATACCACATAACAAGAATCATTCGAACAACTGTAATCTCTCACCGAAAAACGAAAGATTTTCATTGAAATTAAAGTTTTATTGGAGGGATTCAATTAATATTGTAGGAAATTAAACGAGACATGGACATTATTGAAGCAGTAACGAAATAACTAAACTGAACAAATAGATTTCACACATCTCATTGAATGGTCATTGGAAAATGGATTATTTAGATTAAATCCATGAAATTATTCGCATCACTAGCAATAAAGTATTCATTGAAACGTAAACCTGATTTTTATTCGCGTTTTTATTCATATCAAATGAATAGCTTTTTCAATATTAGTTGGAATTGAAATCGTTTAGGTAGCGGAAAACACGAATTTACTGACATGTAATAATCCTCTATTTGGATAAGATAAATAATGTAATTAATTCTAATAATAATTCGCATAATAAGAATCATTCGAACAATTGCAATCGCTCACCAAAAAAGAAAAATTTTCAGTGAAATTAAAGTTTTATTAGAAGAATTCAATCAATATTGTTGACAATTAAGAGACATGGACATTATTGGAGCAGTACACGGAAAGAAATTTTTGATAAAAATTATCCTACCGTTCTATAAAAGCGTATCATGAGTCATCGTTTCCTCATTTCTATTCCGAAATTTAGTAAAAATTCATATATGATGATCAAATTTGATTCTACGATAGAGAAATTTTTTCCTCATAAAAATAAAAATTAGCGTGCCGGTAGAGTAAAAATTACTGTACTCGTAGGGTAAAATTTACCAACCGTTCTAGAATTTTTGTTGTTATCTACATAAACATTATGGGAGTGGAAGGGTAAAATTTATTATGCGTCAGGATAAAATTTCTCTAACGTAGAATAAAATTTAATCATCATATTGTGACGTGTGGAGATATTCACACGTCGATTTTATTCAATTAATATTTTCTAGATGGAAAAAGTTTAAAATGCTCAATAAGCAGTCTCACGGTGACACCTGAGTCCAGCTTCTCAGAATGGAGCTGTTTGATTGTCTTAGCCATTGTCAGTGATGGACATATGGCCGTGTTAGTTAGAAAAACCGTGAGAACACTTATTTAGCATTTACGGTCAGCAACGACTTTGAAGCTCTGGAATAGAGCAGAGTACGGCAGGAGTTGAAGATGGACGGACGTCCTCTCCTAGCCAAAAATCTATAGTAGATCCGCGTCGAAACCGAACCCATTTAACAGTTGATTTTATACTTTACCTATCTATTCAATATACTGTCAATTATTAATGTAACAGTGGTGCTCGATTGTTTTATACGAAGAATACCTAATCAAATCCTATCCTAGTCGCGTCACGTTAGATCTTGAGAGAAATCCGCGTGAGCTCTGACCGTAGCTAGTTGAGCAATAGTTTTTGAGTCGACTGGCGACTCAATTAAGGGAGGTAGAAAACCTCTCACGTCACAATATATTAATTTTTACTAAATTTCGGGATAGAAATGAGGAAACGATGACTCGTGATACACTTTTATAGAACAGTAGGATAATTTTTATCAAAAATTTCTCTCCATGTAGCCAAATAACTAAACTGAGCAAATCGAGTTCACGCATCTCATTAAATGCAAATTCGGAAATGGTTTATTTGGATTAAATAAATGGATATATTAAAAACACTCGTAATAAAGCATTCGTTCAAACTTAAACTTGATTTTCATTCGCGTTTTTATTCGTATCAAATAAATAGCTTTGTCAGTATTAGTTGGAAATGAAATAATTGTTTAAATGGCGAAGAACACGAGTTTATCAGCATGTAAAAATTCTCTATTTTGATCAGAAAATCATTTAATTTATTCTAATAGAAGATTTATATGGACTGAATGAATTATTTATACCACATAATATGAATCATTCGAACAATTGTAATCTCTTACGGAAAAAAGAAAGATAATCATTGAAATTATAGTTTTATTGCAAGGATTCAGTCAATATCAATCACATCAATAAGATGAAATTATCTTCTATTTGGTTAAGATGAATCATTTAATTGGTTCTAATAGAGGATTTATTTGGACGGAGTGAATTACACGGAGAGAAATGTTCAGTAAAAATTACGGAACTCACAATTCGCTCACCCATTACGGAATCGAATCAGACAATATAAGTGACTATATCGTAATTTTTCACAGGAGATTCAAATAAAAATTACGGAACTCACAATTCGCTCACCCATTACGGAATCGAATCAGACAATATAAGTGACTATATCGTAATTTTTCACAGGAGATTCAAATAAAAATTACGGAACGCTTCGGAAAAATTCCGAGATAGTTCCGTAAAACTTCCTACATAGACATTTCGCTCCGGAATTACGGAAAAGATACGTAATTTTTATTGAATATTTCTCTCCGTGTATTTATTCCGCATAATAAGAATATTTCCATCGGAATAAATACATGAACTTATGAATTTCCAACTAAAATATTGTTAGAATAACTAGAAAATTTTCAAACGAAGAGTTCTATTTCACCCGAGAGCGTCGTTTCTCTGGATATATAAAATCACTTTGTTTTTTATTGGAAAATATTATCAACGACCGACGAAATCTTTAGATATTTTCATCCGAAATCCCCCTCGTTCCGGAGTGAAATGCGCGATTACAAAAAATTGACGGTTCGAACTCATTCCATTTTAGCGCTTGATAATCGAAATTTACCTTCGATCTGTTGCATCGGTGAGGGAATCGTCGATATTGGTTGAGGTTGCGAATGTCCATGATGGACCGGCCACTGTTGATAACAACAGTCCGTCGAAATACTGTGTCTCTGATCGTGCTGTTGGATATCCATCATCGAGACTATAATAAATTCAAACTGTCATCGGATCCACCACCCCCAATCGATCTGACAATCACGTCACAATATCACACCAATAAATTTTCCAAAATTACGGTAATAATCACAGTATAACACTGTCACTGAGGTGGAAATTGCATATTATATTAATCGTAATTCAAAGTGTCTTGTATAATCACAGTTGATATTCACTGGGTGCCAGGGAGTTGACCGAATATCCTGACGATTTGGTGCATCGTCGCGCTACCGAACACTCGCCAACAGCCGGTGTCTTCACCTCGCTATCCGATCGCTGACAGAGACCAAAATCCCCCGGATCTTATACAGAGCAAATGCTACTCTCAAACGAACGAGACGAATGGAAAAAGAGAGATGATCCTATGAGAGTACCGACGGACACAAGTGCTTTACTCCGAGTGACTGGTTTGACTTATCAACGGCTCATCATTTCGGTTTTCCACTCCTCTCTTGAATCACATTTCTTCTTCTTCTTCTTCTTCTTCTTCTTTTTTTCTCCTCCCTTTTATTTACACCCTGGCATCTCCCACCTCTCGCTTCATCCCTCTAATGTATCATCTTCTTCCACTTCCTCTTCTTCTTTTTCATCTTTCTCTTCTCCTTCGGCGGAGGCTGAGTATCCAACCACGAAATCTTTAGACACCAAAGGTGTGGTTTTCGTGGTGGGTCCCTCCTACATTGTACAAAACCACCCACACTCGAAGAGAGAAATTTTCTTGGCCTCGTACCGGTTGCTCGAATGAGCTTGGCAAATTGCCCTGCCGGGCACCGGGGACCAGACGCTCGGATGCCGAAGGCGGAGCTTTCTAACATAAATAAAAATTGCCCCCAATTTTTTCTTCAGAAAGAAAAAAAATTAGGTGTTGAGGGAATTGATGAAACTCCACCTGCTGACATAGGGGCGACTGGGGTAAAATGGACACTTTAGACTTTTGTTTTAATTACTCATAACTCAGAAAGAAATTTATCAATTCAACACAAAGGGAAAGAATTGCTCTTTGCAATGAAGAAAAAATTATTAAATTTTATCGAAATTTCAACCCGTCATTAACATTTTTAAAAACGTCAAAAGTGTCCATTTTACCCCAACCTCCCCTAATACTAAAACCGAATATGAAATTGAGAGTGTGAAAGAACATTTCATCCATTTTAAAAAAATCCAGTGCAACGATTTTTTAAGCCTCTATTCCGCTTATCAAGTAATGTGATGTGATGTGTATGTATATTTTTTATGTATTGTAATCTTTTGTTTACAGTAATTGTAAAAAAAGAGAAATTCATTTTTTACTGTAATAAAAAAATACATATATAAGATGGTATATCTGTTTGTATTATAAAAACCCAAATCGACTTCTGGTGATAAAAATAACCAAACTTAAAAACAATTGTTTTGGGTTTTGGTACTTGAAATAAAAACTCCACAATTAAGGGTGGCAAGCGTCAAAATAATAGTCATGAGGGTCAGAATAAGAGGCACGAAGTTCATAATAAGGGTTACAAGGGCAAAATAAGAGTCAGATTAAGGGTCACAAGGCTCAAATTCAGAGTCCCGACGGGTATAACGGGGGTCACAATGTCAGATGAAGCGTCACAAGAGTCTAAATAAGGATCACGAGGGTCAAAATAATGGTCATGAGGGTCACAAGGGTTAGAATAAGGATTATGGGGGTCATATAGCGGTTGGCGAGCGGAACGAGGAGGGGGAAGAGCCCTCTAGTATACTACATGCATATAAATTTTTTTATACTTTAATTTTTTTCAACTGTAAAAAAATAAATATAGTTCTGTAAAAAGAATATATATATAGGATAGTACAAATGTAGATAGTCCATAATACATCCCTAAAAATAAAAAAGAACGCAAAAAGTAGAAGAGAAACGACGAAGATGAGGATTGTGACGATTCCGAATAAATTATTCAACAATTAAATTCTCATTGTGAAAAACTCTCTTTAAACCAGTCATTATTGTTGAGATCAAAATTAATGAAAGCAAGAAACATAAGGTTTTACTATGCTGGCACCCAAGGAAAACAATACGCGCGTTCTAGTGAAAAGAAAGAAAATATAATCGAGAAGAAATGAAGATTTCTTCAGTTAATGAGCACCGGTAATTTTGTGAGGTAAAGGACGATAAAATGGTATTGTTTCTTCAGTCTATATGTGAGTCATGTGGCTCTTGACTTGGCAGACAAATAGAAGGCGGAGTTACTCGGCTGCCGAGTCCCGGCCCAACAAATTAGTATACATAGCTTCACTTCAGTCTTCCTTTTCTACGTTCTTCGTTTGGATTGTATTATTGTTTTTCTTCTCTCTTCTTTTCACATCCCACACAGTCCGCACGCTCCACTACTAATGTGTGCCGGTTATTTCTAATCGATTGGGTAATTAAACACGTTTCTATGATTATCGTGCGGGGGAAATAGAGTAATAACTTCAGTCCAAGAAATGTTATATATAGTTTCGTCTTTATTTTTACAAATAGCTGTTCGACATATGGACATGAATTTGAGAGTAGAAAATATAGCTACAGCAAAATCAGATTCACCGAAAAATATTTAAACTAATGGTCCACTTGAGTAAAAATAGTTAACAGTGATGGATGACTTGACAGTGATTCAAGTGTAGTTTATAGTCAATGAGAACCCAGCCATGTCTCCATTTTTGGGCTCCTCGATTTTCCTGTAAATATTGCCTGTACATTTAAAGGACAATTTCGATTCATGATCAAGAGAAAAAAACATGTTCCAAACAAGTCTCGTGTGAATAAAACAAATCGCAAGTGGATAATTTACCAAGATAGGAATTTTTTCGTTCGACCATACTAAAATTTTAAGCATGGATAATCACTGTTTCCTACAAAGAAATCATTAGCGAAGCGGTAAAACGGTTTAAGACGACTTGCAACTTTGCTGAGTTTTCGAGGAATATCTCCAAATCTGAAGATGGCGAAATTTTCGTTATAATCGGTTTTTTTCTAGAGCGAATTGGGGGCTACAAAAGAAGTTTTAGAAATCTCCCTTGGATTTCGAGATATTTAGTTACAACTGACTAATAGTCAAAATGGACTTAAATCATTTTACCGCTTCACTGAATTTTTCGAAAATATTTAAACTCAAGAGGCTAATCATTCAGGCGAGATGGTGCTTCTTCAGGATGAAAATATCCCTCATAAAGAGAGGTTAATAAAGAAATAGTTTGTTCACAAGTTACAGGATTTGTATCTTATTATCATCATTGTTCTACTTAAAAATCCAGTTTTTATTTTTGAGTATTAGATAACTGAAACGAAAAACCACTCTCCCTTGTGCCGCAAAAAAAACGAATATGATTTCATGAGCAAAATATGAATGGTATATCGAGAGAAATTCTTTAGAAAAATTCTAATGCTGTTCAAAAAAAATTTCTTATTGTTTCTGGGAAAATGTATAGAGATGTCTAGTACTATTTCTGAGAATTCCTGTGAAGATTTCATACCAATACGCGAAAAATTCGCGGGTTATCTAAAAATTTCCAGCGTTAGAACTGGAATTTGCTTGAAAACATATGATATTTTACTCTGTATACACTAAGGCAAATAAAAATAAGTTCTCAAACAAATCTCGTTTGAACTTAAAAAATTGCAAGTTGATAATTTCTAAGATATAAATTGCTTCACTGAAACATAAGAAAGTGTTAAACATAAGTAACCACTCTATTGTTAACAACAAAATATTTGGCTGGAGAGTACTTTTCAGGATAAAAATATCTTTCATAAAGGGAATTTCATGAATAAAATGTTTTGTTCCTAAGTAACACGATTATTATCATATCATCATTATTCTATTTGAAAATTAATTTCTCATCTTTGAATACTCTCCCTAATTTCGCATAAAACAAATCTTTTTCGGAAGCAAAATACATGTTAGTATAGAATATGAAAAATACGTACTAGAAATAAGATATCGTCCTTGCAGAGGAAATAACAATTTTGTGGACCAACTCAGTCTATTGTGCCACGAAAATCTTCCATCACCGGGCACTTTGCAAATAGATTTCAACTTGCATTGAATATTCAATGAATAAAATGAAAAATATACTGATTATTTCACCTTTCAATAATATTACTCGTGTATAATCATGTGATCAATTATTTGTTCTATTGATCAACATTTAATAAATGAAAAAAAAATATGGCCCAGTCGTCCAGAAATTAGGGGTTTCGGCTGCATTCAACTATTTCTTAATTTAATTATTCTTTGTTTTGTTATTTGCACTTCAAATCATTTTTTTCGGCTAATTAAAACATTCTTGAAGGTATGGAAGCCATCATATCGCCATTTAGGTGATTCTTTGATTTTGGATCCTACCATGAAACTCCAATTTCCCTTATTAACCGTCCAGCAATTGACCTGTTCACCCTACCGATTAAGTATGAGATTTTTTGTTGTAATTTTCAACTTGCGATTTTACTTATTCCACCAAAACTTATTTGCGAACATGTCATTTTCATTTAGTGCAGCGACAAAAAGGGTTCTTGCTAGTTTTTGCAGTAGAAGTTCACTATCGAAAAACAGATAGTAGCTGAATTGACATAAAATGTCATACGTTTAGAAAACCGCAAATATCACATTTTGATTCATTTAGAATAAATAAATTGACTCACAATTAGGAACATTTCGATACATAAGCCACTAATAATTCCGGAATTTCCACGTCACATAGTCTTTCTGGTTATTACAGTTATTACAATGTTGAGGTATTTCGAATTTTGAAATGTCACATTCAACACCAAGATCCCGTTTTACATGATTTACTGACGATATTTTTATTTAAAATAGCATGCTCTTGGTTTTTCCACCACATTATTTTGTAATAAAATCTTTCACATAATACTCGGCAAGTCTTAATCAAATTTGGCAATTCACGTAGAGGAAAAACATTTTGTGTAATATTCCCATTCATACATTCATCACAAGACAAATATTGTATTTCGTGGACAGCAAATCAGAGATAAATGGGAATGTGCATAAGAAAAAGCATAGTTGACAACGGAGACCATTGAATCGGTCACATGGTACATATAATTTTACGCACCAGCCGCAACTGTATTGAATATCTTGATGGTTTTCTCTCTCGTATAATTTGGCGCTGCGAGGAATATCTTTTCTCTTGGAATTTATGGAATAGATATCAGTTAAATTTTTAAGCTGAAGACCATACTCAAGAATTGTTCGTAGTGAATTGTGATAACTCCATCCTGGTCGGTATCAAATTTTCTGAAAGCTGATGTTAGTGTCTGAAAGAGAGAAAATTTTCTTAGTGACACGTTTTGAATGGCACGAGAATGTGATAGTTACCATCAGAGGAAAAAAAATCGAAACAAGTCGTTGACATATTTTACCACTGACACATCATTTTCTGGACAAATTGACCTATTACTACACTGTGAAAAATTTTCGTCTGAATTTTCCGTGCGAAATTCTGGAAATTTTTATCGTGTTCAAGTTCTACTGAAATTTCACGAAATCTTGTTATTGGAAAATCAAATATGCTATTGATTTTCTGTTCAAATGATCTGGAAATCAATAAAATACTTGATTTTTCACAAGTCACGTAGAAATTTTGTGAAATGTTTTGAAATCCAAGGAAGATGACGAAATTTTTGTAAAGACCTTTCTTTTTCCCACTGAAATTCGCTACTTAATCATAACGACGTCTAAACGAGAACTAATCAGATATCGTGTGCTACATGGAAAAAAGTCGCATGAACCTTATCTAGGGAAAATGAAATGGGGATGATTTGGATTCTTCAGATTCATTTTAACCCAACTTTTGAGGACATTTTTTTGGCGCATACGATCTTTTTGCACAAATGTTTCTCCAATAGTGAAAAAAAATTTTTTTAAATCTTTTCACTGTTGTCCTCTCATTTGTTTTAAATTCAGTCTTATTTTTTAAAAAATAAACATCATTCCAGGATTTACTCCTAGAAAATTCAAAGAAAAATATCGCGTGTCTAAAAGCAAAAGGTCATAAACGCCAAAAAACTACTTTTCGAGTTTCTTAAAGTGAGAAAGTCGTATCTCCACTTATTTTTTCTACAATTCTGCGTGAAAATACTGGAGAAACTTATTATAATACTTACATTTTCAGATTAATGGTGAGCGGCATATACGACCTTTTGCCTTTAACTTATGTCCCCAGAAATGAAAAATTCCTTAAAAGCAAAAGGCCGTAATGACAAAATTTTTCATTTTTTTACTATGTACGACCTTTTGCTTTTAATTTCTGTCCTCAGAAATCGAGACTGACCTAAAGGCAAAAGGTCGTAAAGACAAAATTTGGGATTTTTTAATTTCCAGTTCCGTGGACAAGTTATACCTTCAATATTCCAGTTGATGTCACTTGAAGTTATCGGTGTCTTTAATTATGGTCAAATAATTATATCGGCAACTTAATAACATCATTTTTGTGAATAGCGTATCTCCATTTTTAATCCGGATTCGTCTATTTCGGAACATTGTAAAAACTCTTAAAATGTTTGTATTTTCTAAACATTTTTTGTACACTAATCACCCCTTGTATAACTCTCTCAAGATATCTCCAAAAAAATCTAAATTAGGGAACTGAAGCGTTCTTTATTGTTAAGGGTCCAACAGGGCAGTGATCGGAAGAATCCCGTGTACTCTCGAGAGTTAAATGGGAGAGGCAGGTACAGCACAGAGGAACAAAAGTGGATTAGCATTAGAAACTAGTTTCTCGATTTTCGAAATTCCTATACGCTAGCTGCGTATCTCATAAAGAGCACTAGTAACGCCGCCTCAGCGGTGTCTTTTGGTAACTTTCGGGTGTTAATGACTAACTTCATAGCTTTATCGCTTAAATTTTGAATTCAAACTAAACCTTCAAACAGACAAGCAAGTTACATCATCCAAAGTAAAAACGACTGAAAAATGTCCATAATTTGATATGAATTTTGCAGTGATTCCATTCAATTCGAGTGTAGTTATGACATTCAGTGACAAGTGAAAATTGAAAAAAAAATGTTTCAATCGTTTGTTTTTTCTGCCTATAATATGTCATTTTCCGCCACGAGTGGCGCAATCGGCGGTAGGCAGCTAGCGTATTCGTAAGCTTAATCTTTCATGGGATCAAAAAAACTAACGATTTTGAAAATTGTTTTTAAGAACAAAAATTTTCTAAAACCAATGCTGATTTTTTTTTAATTTTAGAAAATTTTCAGATTGAACTAAAAAATTGCGGTCGAGGTATTTAAAGGGCGTAAGTACCCCATACATAGGGAGTGTTGCCCAAATATCGGGAATTTCAGATGTGAGGAGGGGGCATTTTGCAAAGAGAGAGAGAGAGGGGGGGTTGTAAATTTAGAATTCACAACCAAAAAATTTGAGTCGGTGAGGTTTTCAAAAATATCTCCAAAACTAAGAGACATAGCGAATTCTTACTGAAAAATTATGGAAGAGTGAGGGGAGGGGAGGGTTGTACCTTGAAAATTCAATAAAATCTCCCTCTCCCCCAAATTTTCAGTAAAAATTCGCTATCTCCCTTAGTTTCGCAGATATTTTGGAAAAACTCACAGACTCAATTTTTTTGGTTATCAATTCTCAATTCACAATCTCTCCTCCCCCCTCTCTGCACAATATCCCCTCCAAAAATGAAAGAAATCCTCTAGATTTTAGAAAATATTTTTTCTAAAATTAAGTATATTTAGTAACGGAGCTAGAAAAAAATCGTTTAAAATTAATGATCAAAATGGAGATTAATTTTAAACCATTATTTTCTAAAACTTAGGAAAAAGTTCTAGATTTTAGAAAACTGCAGATTAGAAACCGCAGTTTCTAACATTTAAAAACTTTTTTCTAAAGCCAATCCACGTTTTCTATCTGTGTATGCTGAACCATGTTAGACTTCTGACTTCTGATGATAAAAATTTGGTACTCGAAATTAAGACTCCAAAATTAAGGGTCACAAAGGTTAAACTAAGGATCACAAGATTCCAAGGTCCCAAGGTCACTGGGGTCAGATTAAAGGCCCAAATAAGTGACACAATGATCAGATTAAGGGTCAGAGTAAGGGTACCAATAAGGGACATGAAAATAAGGGCCAAGAGGGTTATAACGAGGGTCAGATTAAGGATCCATAAGGATCACAAGAGTCCGATTATGGGGGTCATATGGGAGTTGGCGAACGGGGCGAGCACGGGGCGTCCCCCCTACTATTTCTCTAAGAGCACGACTGAATATCAGAAAAATGAGACGAAAACAGTGAAAAGATTTAAATTTTTCATTTTTCCACTATTGGAGAAACATTTGTAGAAAAAAGTCGTATGCGCTAAAAAAGAAAGCGTCTCAAAATATGGGTCAAAATTATTCTGGAGAGTTCAAATCGCCCAGATTTCATGTTTCCTATATTAGTTAAAAATCTCAAAATGATCAGTACGACCGTCTCCCATACAGTACGCGATACAATAGTAAAAATCATTCATACTCACATAAAGTACAATGCAGCATTGAATAAAATCATCGAAGTAAATAGTGCTCCTGCCCAAACGATCGTACTTCCTGATGAGCATATCAATGAGACCTTCTGACAAACGATATCCAAAATTCGTGAGTGCTGTTTTCAACTCATTACGATCGATATTCCCACTGTTATCACTGTCGAAAGACCTGAAGCAATTCTGCCAGTCCGTCACGTATTTCCACAGTGCCCCAAACTCTTCGAAGCTGACTGTTCCATTTTGGCTCTTGTCGAACATACCTGTTTCATTGGGAACACTTTTTTCAGTGTCAAACATACCTGGTCAAACAGAAACAAAACAAGAACCAGGGAAAAAACTTTGAGTATCGTTATCATTGAGAATATTGCACTTAATACTCTTCATTATCTCCCATAAGATATTTATTAAGATTCTTATCATGCGTTTTCTCTGGTCCAAGTCTACATCCAATATCTACCCCATTCTCGTGATAAGTGAATAATCGTTTCATTACCTATCATCAGGCGCACTGTCTCAGGATTGAATGGTGTCCATGTGCCATTGGAGAGTGCCTGTTGCAATTCATCGGCGCTGATTGCTCCAGAGTGATCCTTATCCACTCTGAAATGCATCAAAGAGTATTTAAGCTTCTATTAATTTTCCGATCTACAAGAATGTTGTAGTATGATCCAGAAAATCAAGAGTGAAAATTTCATGTGTCCATATTCAAAGAAACCGCAACATATTTTTAACACTCCGTTGGTCGCGCCGCGAGCGCACCAGCATAAGTCAACATAATGATACATTTGAAAGATCTAGGAAAAATCTGATAAAATGAAGAGTGATCTACATCGTATACTTGAAGAAGTCCCGTGAGATTTCTTATGCTCAGTGTTACCCTTAATTATATATTCAAGCTCAAAATTGCCATGTTTTTCTGAAAATTCGCCTTATACACGGTACACGGTCTGAAGTTTCGGAATAAAGATTTGAAAATATAACCAAAACAAACAGGGGTTCGAGCTTTTTTGGCCGAAGCCATCTGACCGTTACTTTATGTGTTATAACTCTTTTTCTTTTTTTCATTTCTACCAATCCCATTGGTAGTAAGCTTCCGAATGGATCTGTAACAAGTTGATATCTCAATTTTTTCACAAGCTAGCGTGATTACAAGGAGTTTTATGAAAAAACTGAAAATCTGAAATATCTCGAAAACTTTAGATAAACGGTATATATGTTTTGATTGATTCAGATAGAAGGCATCGAGACGAATATTTTGAAAAAAAAAAATTGAAATCGGTTGAATAGTTTCTGAGCTATTGCAGACAGAAGGTTTTCAGGGAAAGTCGAATATCTCGGAAACTACTCGGTCGATTGGGCTCATTTTCAATAGGAAACATTGTCATCGCGGGGAGAAGATTCTATCCAAATTTCAAGTTGATTCCTCCATTTTTGCATAAGCTAGCGTGATTACAAGGATTTTTATGGAAAAACTGAAAATCTGAAATATCTCGAAAACTTTGTATGAACGGGTATATATGTTTTGATTGATTCAGATAGAAGGCATCGAGACGAATATTTTGAAAAAAAAAATTGAAATCGGTTGGCTAGTTTCGAAGATATTAACGAAAAACGATTTAAAAATGAATAGCTTTTTCTCAAAAGCTATTCGATCGATCGGGCTGAAATTTGGCACAGAGTTAATCCTAGTTAAGTACTATAATCTGACAAAATTTCAGATTTTTTGGAATAAGTTTAGTCAATTTATTACTCGATTTTCCAAAAAATAACCACCGGACAGGTGGCGATGGACATTGACACCGACAGACACACCCCCCAAACTTCGTATTTTTACGTTTCAGATCATTTTACATCATTTCCAAGCAAAATTAGAAAATCGAAAAATAGAACGATTACAATGCTTCCATTTGGAAGCAAAAATGATATTTTATGATATTTTTGGCGGATATTTTCATTGATAGGGCTTCTACACGTATAAAAAAGCGTATAGGAATTTTCTATATAGATTGCGTACAGAAATTCTGTAGGATTTTCGTATATGATATTCGGATATTTCTATATGAATATTTTCTATACGAATTATTTCTATACATAAATTTTTACATAAATTTTTATTTTCATACGAAAGATGTCTAAATGCTCCAGGGAAAAACATAGAGAAATGTCGCAACTCCATACGAAATGTTTCTATACATGTGACAGTGGGTCGTATAGGATCGAACCTATAGAAATCGCATAGAAATAATTTGTATAAAAAATATCCGTATAGAAATATCCGAATATCATATACGAAAATCCTACAGAAATTCTATACGCAATCCGTATAGAAAATTTCTATACGATTTTTTCCTACGTGTAGACACTTCAAAATGAGATGTCAAATTTTTTCAAAATTTTCTGACGCTTTACCGCCGTGTAATTTAAAAAATCGGAAAAAGTGCGGCACGGAGCTCATAGCGCCCAACGGATTGTTAAGGTGTTTCGTGCGAAAAAGGTAAGTAATGACATTCATCTGGAATTCATATAGAATGTTTATAATCACAATTGAATTATCTATGAATTTTCCTAGAATTTTTTCAGATTGCCATTTCAAGATATTAACGATTGAAGTCGCTTCTTACACATGGGCTCTTATGAAGATTTTCCTGTTTAGCACGAAACTGCGTTACCATCTGAGCTGATAATATAGTTTCATGCTAAACAGAAAAATCTCCATAAGGGCCCATGTATAAGCAGTGCTTTTCATCATTAATAACTTGAAAAGGAAATTTGAAAAAATTGTAGGAAAATTCATAGATAACTAAATTCTGATTATCATCAATATTCTACATTAATTCCAGATGAATGTCATTATTTACCTTTTTCGCGCAAAACACTTTAAGCAAGTCTTGTTTGAACCCAAAAATGGCATGTTGATAATTGTACGGATGAAAATTATGTCCATTGTTCTACTTTTAACAGAGAAATATTCGGTTCCAGGGGCGGATCATTCACGCGAGATGGTGAGATCCTGAAAAGAACCGGATGGAAGTATATCTTACAAAATACAGTTAATCAAGAAAGATACTGAACTGTGACCCAAGTCTACTCCTCTTTTTCACTTGTTTGATGATTTTTCTCAAACTTTTTTCTCCGTGGAGACGAACAAACCATCCTCCTAACAAGAAAATCCGTGCGCGTGCTCGCACTCACACACACTCCCATGCACACACATCGCCGTATTCCGCATCGAGAAAAGATGTAATTTATCAGAAAAGGAAAATTGCTTCTTGAATGTATATCGATTTCGAAAAAAGCTAGTGAACTGCTGATTAAATGTCTTCCAGTATTCCATGATTTGTGCGTTATATCAAGATTCATCGTTTCTAACAAAAAAAACTTGAAATCGCATCGTTATGCACGGAGAAATGGTCTCGTTTACAAAAAAATGCTAATTTTCGACTTTTTTCCAAATGTTTTTTGGAAAAAACTGGAGAAACGCTGAGACGATCGTCTCCATAATCTAATCAGGTTCAAGTCACATGAAAATACAGCGATTAAAAAAAAAAAGTCAAATCGCATCGTTTGTTCAGGAGGAATCGTGGCACAAAATTTTTGTCACAGACGTACGCACACACATACACACATCCACACATACAGACAGGTACCTGAAAAGGGTCAGAAGTGGTTCCAAAGGTCATGAAACGTGGAGAAATGCTTAAATTTCCACATTCGATTTTCGGGGTCATTACAATAACTTCCTCCCTTCGGATTGGGAAGTTAAAAATGACAAAAATAGAACCCTTCACCGATGCATTTCCGAAATCGACAACGAGTTTCGCCCTGAGGTAGTAAGCTAGATCATATTCAAGAAATCTGACACAAGTGAGTGTCTGTCATGAGCTGGGGATCAGATCTCGTTAAAAAAATTCTCTGCCCACTTTATTTGAGAGTTTCGGCTGTGACTCATGGGGAAGCTTAGCTTCCCTACAATATTAACTCTTGATATTCCGTATCTCCTCAGTTAAATGTTCATCAGGAGATTTGTCACTCCAGGTAATTTTTGCCTTGCATTTTTCTTAGTTCAAACAAAACGGATCTGAGAGCTGATTTCTTTTCTCTCAGGGCACATTTCCTGGTCCCTAGAAGCTGTCTGTAATGTTTCTTGTATGAATTTTGCGATTCCAATGTTTCTTTTATTTGCAAAATATTTGAGAAAAAATAACGCCAAAGAATGACAACTTTGTTTAATCCGTGGAATTTTTCTATAAAAATCATGAGATTAAATTAATTTTCTGCGATCACTGCATCTTGATATCATTTGCGTTTGGTGGAATGTAGACGTCCAGCGGTTGTTCAGAATGAAATAGGAAAATAAAAAAAGAAAAAGGCTAATAACGTATAAAGTAACGGTAAAATATCTTCTGTCGGATAGGGTTGGTCCCTGGCTTGTTTCCGTTATTTATCGGCGGGAAAAGAACACAAGTGAAAAATCATTGGAAATATCAACAGGTTGGGGGAAGGAGTAGGGCTTCTAGCCGAACCGAAAAATCATATGACGTGAATGATGTCATTTCTGGAAAACTTGTACATGAATTGTGTGAAATATGTCAATTAATTTGATGCAATGAACCATTCCTAAGAATCACATTGCGTCACAAATACCTGTGCATACCTCTGAGAAATATTCCCTGCGACTGGGACATCAAACAATACTAGATAAACTGCAATTTAGTATTTTAATGACATAGCTATCATTAGAATTTAATTATGCCCTGTGGAACCTGACGACTATTTTTAAAATCGTGATCTACTTACCTAATGATCGTGGGCTATGATTTTTAGGTTCATTATTTCATTATTTATCTACAACAAAGGGCCACAGAAATGAGGTATTGGAAAGATTAATAGAAATAGAAATCAATACAAATAGATTGCAAAAAATCATGAGGTGAAGTGATGCCGCTCCCGGAAAACTTGTGCATGAATTGCGTGAAATGTGTTGAGTAATTTGATCATAACACGTCACAAATGACTCTGTATACCTCTGGAGAATATTTCCCGTGACTGAGACATCCAACAATACTAGCTGAGCTACAATTTAGTGTTTCAATGACGTCAATATCATTAAAATTTATTGATGCCCTAGTAATGCCTTCCAATGACGGTTTTTCAACTAGTGATGGAGTAATGATGAACTATAATTTTCTGGGCTTCTTTTACCGTTATTTATCTGTACCAAACTAACACAGACCGAGTGTGATAGAAAAAATGAACACTTTGAAAGAAAGGGCAGGCGTTCAAGTTAGTAAATTGAAAAATCATGACGGGCAATGATGCGATTCCTGGAATATTTGCGTGAAATATGTTAATCTCTTGACAGAATGAATCATTCGTAGGGATCATAATACGTCATAAATAATTGTACATACGTTTGGAAAACATTCCACAGGAATTCTCTGCTCGGCATTGGCGAGACGAACGACATTTTAGAAGATTCCCAAAATACCTTGTTTATTTATCAGCCAAAAGTTTATTTAAATACGATAAACAAAGTTCGATAACACACCCAAACTGTAACGTACGTCTTTAGCACTGAACTGCACGAACAAATCACACGAAAAGTACGATATGAAGTTGGAGGCAGTTGGAGGAGCAGGCTTGCCAGATATATACTTGCCAATAAGTGGTGTGCTGGCACAGTCCCCTCCCAAGCAGCACAGTTCTAGAGGGTATCTGCAAGTATACCAAAAAGGCTGTCTAATGTCTGTCCAAAAAGGTAACTTGTGTCTAGAAGTTACCTAGAAGTTAACTAAAAGTTATCGTATGACTGCAAGATACCTTTTGGACGGACATTAGTCTGCCTTTTTGGTATACTTTCAGATATCTTTCGCAAAGTGTGCTACTTGGGCTGCTTCCAGAAATTCCCCCGCCAATTCTGCCCACTTCAAACAGAAAAATTTGAAAAACTTATGAAATGTGAAAAATTCAGTAGGGGAGAGTAGGGTAAAATGGACACTAGACTTTTAAAATTATTCAAAACTCAAAAACAAATGTAATAATAGAGCTCAGTTTAGGCTCATCACAAAGGGAAAGAATTGTTCTTTGTATTGAACAAAAAATTATTAAATTTGATCAACACTTCAACCCCTCATTAACATTTAAAAAAAAGTCAAAAGTGTCCGTTTTACCCCAACCTCCCCTATACTAAAAACAAAGAATGTTATAGCATATTCAACTCTTTATTCTTTAGTCTTTCATACAAATTATATTAACATTGCTAGCAATATTTTTCAGGGTTCAATTTAACCAGGGTCAAGCGTCTGAAGGGTTCAATTTCACGAGGGTCACGAGGGTTCAATTCAACGAGGGCCCCGCGTATCAAGAGGTTCAATTCCATGGACGTCAATTATACTACAAGGATCAACCGTGCCAATATTATTATGCGCTGGAAGAAACAATTGTAGTTAATTATTAAGCTTTATTAAATTTTTCACGTTATCATTTGGCCCTTTTGGTGACCCCTTTGGTGACCCTCATGATGTTTGACTCCCGTGAAATTTGACTATCCCCATACGACTTTTTTGTTATTTGACTCTCGTGAAATTTAACCATTCCCTTGTGGCCCTCGTGACCTACCGCGGAGGTACCAGTATCCGACAGTCGAGCCCACTTTCCTTGATATTTGGTGAAAAATATAAGTGAATATGGTAATTAAATATTTTCTTATACTAGTAGGATGATGTCAGGGACGCGTAGAGACTGCAAAATTACTCAAAAACATGCACAATGAAAAAAAATCACGACTTCGAATATTGGGACACTGGTATAGCAGTCTGTCTTAGTATCCGACCGGTGCTTTTCGTTCATCTAACCTTAATTACATTGTTTTGTTGTATCTCGTCTCTCAATGATTATTTGAATATGCGCAAATTAACTGAACATCACAATCATCGGTAATTAATTAATTAATCATTTTGGGACGCTCGCATGGAAAGGGACCACTTTGTCGATATGAGTTATGTATATACTCTCATAATATTGATAACATTTCGCACATTTTGAGCCCAAAATGATCCCCATAGGGTCAAAAATGACATCTCTAGAGAAGATGAAAAAAACAATTTAACATTGGTGTATAAATGGAAGTCGGTGAAATAAAAACGTGAATATCTCGGAAACAAGTGGTCCCTTTCATGCGGACGTTATGAAATAAATCGCAAACATTCATTTTTGTATTTTTGAAGGATCACAAAGAATATCAAATTTATTCCGTTTTCTATTTTGTGATGATTTATATAATAAATATTTACAATTTTTCTGTCCTGTTAATTATTTGGCAATATGAACCCAATCTCGTACATGGTGTCGGCCACTGCATCCTCAGTAGTGTCAGATACTGGGTCTAGGCGACATTCGGCTGTCGGATACTGGGTCATGGGACACATCGACTTATTTAGGTCAATATTTATTTACAATTGCAGTACTCATACGATTTTTTGAATTTTTCTTGTTTTTGAAATGTTCAAAATCGCTTTTTGTCCGTTATACATAATATTTTCGACTTGGATAACGAAATACATGAATTTTATCCTGGGATTCTGCCTAGACTGTCGGATGCTGGTACCTCCACGGTACAATTACGAGTGGAATTCTTTCCCCAGTCCTACAGTATATTATATGTTTAAAAAAATTATGTGCCCGGAGCAAAAATTTTCCCGCCAAAATGCATCCCAAGTAGTCTCATTAGTCCCATCTGGCAACTCTGTGAAGGAGCAGAATTCAATGCTACCAACTGAAATGTGAGATTGGAGTAGTGGGGGCAATGTTGGACGTCGTGGCCGTCAATACATGGATTTTGTGCATTTTGTATCACAAATGGTTACAAATAAGGAATTGATCAAAATAATCCAGTCATTCGCTTTTTTTTCCAACTTTGAAGAGTTGCGATGAAAAATTTTGTATTTTTAACGAGGAATACACGACAACATGAAGACGAATGAGATAAAAATATAATTTCTGGAGTCGATTGAGTGATCGTAAGTCCATATTTACTCATAATTACATCAGTCCCTGTGGCGAAATGAGCCTCAACGTCACGTTCACATATTCAATAGATTATTTCTCTCATTCCTTGTGCTTTCAGGCTCCTCTGACATTCGAATAAGATGTCTGAACTGGAGAGTACACCCAATCCTTCAATCGACGTAATTATACCACAACAGGCATTTCTGTATGAAACAGAAACCCTCGAGTACATCCTGTGTAAACCAAAATTGCTTCCACTGAAGTCAGTGTCACTTGAGAAGTTGGAGAAAATGCAAAAAGAGGCCAATGAGAAGATAAAAGCTAATCGTGAAATAGACCAGAGCACCGAGAGTAGAGACAAGTAATGCAATTGAGTTGTTCAATGATTTTCAAACTAGTCAAAGGAAATTGAAAATGAGCGTGGGTCCTCTAGTTACGGAAATCGTCCTGGCTTTTTGCCTGGCTGCGACTCTACTCTACAGATATGGCAATGTATTCAGAAATCATATCGTTGTCACATTGTCGGTGCTCATCGCCTGGTACTTCTCGTTATTGATTATATTCGTACTACCTCTAGATGTTTCTTCAGTAAGTTATCCTTCTTGTAACGAAACTATTGCATGCTTGAAAGTCTTTTGAGTCCGTTGACTGCGGTGAAAATACCTAGAAATGTCATGAAACATGAGGAAGTCGTGTTTTTAAAAGGAGGATCCAAGGGAAATTCGAAAGTCTTCGGTTGATGAAAACAACTATCGAGCAACTCGAGATATCGAGTACCTAACAAACTGAGAAAAATTTCGAATCCAATCCATTGTACTGTTTTTGGTTTTGAAATGCTCCTCGCACAGCAATTTTCGTTTGATTTAAACTTTTTTTTTTCAAAATGTTTGTTCGATTTTACAAAATCAAACTAGATATTTTTTTCGATTGTCTTAATTAGGAAGTTGATTAAATTTTGTTGGTTTCGTCAACTAATGCTTCAGAATGGTTATTTTGCATATCATTTTCTGCTATCATGTACAATTCATTATTTATTTCATTTTATTAAATTGAATAAGATTTCTTTTTAAATAATTTTGCCAGATTTTCAAATTAGTTGAATGTCATCATCATCATTATTCTTATTATCCCTTTCTTTTATACAACCAATTGTCTTTTTTACAATTCTATCTCTCCCCTCAGTCCTTCGATAAAATGTTAATAGAAAACATTTATTTATACATGAAAAATTGGAAATTTCTAACAATAATCATAAAAATTAAATCAACCAATATAGCTATCGTAATCATCTTTTAATTTCCACTTAATGGCATTAAAATAAATATTTTAAGCTATGATTGAATTCATTTGAAGCATGGTATCCAAAGATATTCCGGAAATTCTAATTTTCAAAGAATACGGAATGTTTTCAAATTTTCAAATAAATCAAAATAACAATTATTGCTATCGTCTTCATCTTCGAATTTGCCAAAAGGACATCCAAATAAATTTTTTAAGCCATCATTCAATCAATTCAGAACATTTTTTTTAGTTATTGTGAAAAAACAATTTTTGAAGAATGAAAAACAATTACAAAATTAATAAATGAATTGAATTTTAATTTATGATAATTTATTTAAGGCTCAACAATACCTACATTTGAGGGAAAAAAAAGATTCAATTCCGTCGATTTTTACAGACACGGTGTAAAAATCCAAGAACAAGAATGTTCTTAATTTGAGAATTCGAATGTTCTTGATTCAAAAACCCAAATTCGAGGAAAATGTGCCTTAATTTGATAACAATTTAACTAGATACAAGTCAAAATGACCAAGAAGTAGAATTTTTTTCTTCGATTCTCAGAAAAAAACTTCTCAAGATGAGTGCAAAACTTATTTCTTCACTTATTTTCCAATTTTTTACTCACAAAATTTCGGTACGATAGACCTTTAGGTCTCAAAAATCGATCGATTTTCATTTGAAGCTCGAAACTCTTCTTCTCTGTATAGGCTGAGCGCTTAAAAAAAACCCTAACGACCCATTCATGTCACATTCACTCGATATCCGTCATTGTATTCATATTCATTTCTTCCACTCTTAGAACTGTTCATTCAACCCCACCCACTCCTCTGACTCACAGATTTATTTCAATAATTAACTTTGCAGACTGTCTATCGCCAATGCATTGAGAAAAACCCAGTGGTAAACGCAACAATCCAAAGCTTAGAGCGAAATGGTACCAGTCCCTCAACACCATGTCAGAAGCCCTGGTCAAGTGTCGCCGACAACGTATTCCCCAATTTATGGAGAATAGTGTACTGGACCTCCCAATGCTTAACATGGTTGATCCTTCCGCTGATGCAGTCTTACATAAAAGCCGGTGACTTCACTATCCGAGGAAAACTCAAATCAGCATTAATTGACAATGCAATCTACTACGGAAGTTACCTGTTCATCTGCGGAATTTTGTTGATTTACATTGCCCTCAAGCCAGGCCAAAATTTGGACGGTCAGAAGTTGAAAGCCATCGCCTCATCAGCTTCCAACACTTGGGGATTGTTTCTCCTTGTCCTGCTCCTCGGATATGCCCTCGTGGAGGTGCCCAGGGGACTCTGGAACTCCAGCAAACTCCCTTATAAGCTCCAATACAGTTATTTCAAGGCATCAAAATTATCTTTAGAAAAGTGTGAAGCTGAGGAGTCTGTTGACGACATATTGGAGTCACTGCAGGCAGCATCAGCTGCGATAGGCCCCAATCATCCATTCTACAGGAATCTTGAAACTATTTTCCAAAAAGTTCCTGTCGAAGTGAAGGACAAAATGAACAGAAGACAGCTGCCAGATGACACTCCACTCGATGCACCATCTGAGAAGGCTTTGATCAGACTTCACAGGCAGACTATCAAGGCTCTTCAAACCCTCCAGAGAACGGAAACCCAGTGGGCAATTTTGATGGAGAAAATTTTTCACCTCGAGGATATTGCTAATAATCTCTCAAATCACGACAGAAGGTTCAAGTCTTCATTTGGGAAACTGCGCCCACTGTACATGCGAATACTGTGTAATCCGACTGTCGAGTGGTACTGGAAGTGCATGATAAAGAGTTATGTCCAGAGAGCAGCTGCTGTCGCAGCTGGATGCCTCTCGGTCGCTGTTGTCTGGTCTGAAGTCACGTTCTTCAATAAATCCCCCGTTCTATCCCTGTTCGCGCAGTTTTTAAACTTGGCTAAGGCCAAATACGACTATTTAACGATTGAAATACTCTCCACAGTGATTATTGCGTATTTATGCTACTGCGCATATTCTACAGTGTTGAAGATACGTTTGTTGAATCTTTATTATCTTGCACCGCATCATCAGACCAATGAATACAGTCTCATCTTCAGTGGAATGATGCTGTGTCGCTTGACACCACCAATGTGCCTCAATTTTCTGGGGCTCATTCACATGGACTCGCATATTATCAAAACGCACATTCTTGAAACTCATTACACCCAAGTAATGGGACATATGGATGTCATATCGATTATCTCGGATGGATTCAATGTTTATTTCCCTATGGCTATTCTAGCTTTTTGTTTAGCAACGTATTTTAGCGTTGGAAGTAGACTGTTGAATGTACTTGGGTTTCAACAGTTTCTTGGAGATGATGAGCTCACTACGGATCTTGTTGATGAGGGAAGAGAACTTATTCTGCGAGGTAAATATCTGGAGAATGGCATACTTTGACACTGACATAGTATTTCGATAACATGACTTATTGCATACAATGGAGTTTTGATACAGATTTTGATACATTTCATATTTTGCATTGGGATCTTGTTCACAGAAATCATAATCCCCATATCCTAATTACACGATATACACTGACAGAAAAAATTAATTGGTAATTAGCTAATATAGCCACTCTAATTTTTTGGAGATACTAATAGGTAACTATTACAGTTTTTTACATTAATTTTGAAGTCTTTCGACGTATATTAGGTCGGAAACTGGTTGCTATAAATGAATTTAACCTCTTTGAGCTATCACACTTAGTAACGTAGATGCTCATGTAGATGTACGGTACCTCCCATTCTACACTGAGAGAAAAACGACAAAATTCTCAAACAAGTCTTGCTTGTGCCAAGAAAATAGTTTTTTTGAAAATTATCAAAAAAGGATTTTTTTTGTGCGAAACATGCAGAAAGTTTAATAATAAATGACTAAATAATTCGGTTTCCTCGAAAAATTCTTTCGAGTAGTTATGTACTCTAATTACCAATTATTTTATCAAGAGTATTTCCCTCATCAGAATCTCGGCCAATCGGAGGGCCGCATTCGATGTCACGTGCTACAACCTACACGGTTTTATATCGGTAAAATTTGGTAAAACCACGGCACGTTGCTAAGGGAGAATAAAGAAAATAATTGAAATGCGAAAGTGTAGGTTGTACCACATTGACATCAAATGCTGCCCTCCAGTGACCGAAATTCCGATGGAGGAAATACTCCTCCAAATACCCCTCGAGCTTCAAAATGCATCGGATATTTCCCTCAACCTTCCCTGCAAACAAACGATCGTGTCAAGTTTTGTAGGAAAATTTTTAAACCTACCAAACTTGACACTCTCGTTTGTTTGCAACGAAACTGTCGGGAAATACCCGATCATTTTGAAGCACTCGGGATATTACTACTGAGCATTTTATTTGAACTAACTATTGATTTGGTTGTTAATTTTCAAATAAACATAATTTTGTAGTGAATACCAGTTATCTCTTCTTGATATACATTTATTTGGGAGAAATCGAACTTCTCTAGAATTGAAGTTCCTTTTATTTGTCGCAATAATGAGTCTATTTGATTTCTTTTTGGCCAAAAGGTCGCTAACTCCAGAAATTCGTTGGTTTACTCAACAATCAAAATTATTCTCATGACTAAATACGTTGTTATTTCAATCAACACGATCATACGTTATTCCAAGTAAATTATAATTGAAGTGAGTATTTTGTATGTCGAATCAGGATGAATATTGTTACGCGGAAAAATCTTTGAGATTGTAGTAAGATATCGTTGAGTTGAAAGAAGTTTACATCTCTTGACTAAAAAAAATAGTATTCTTACTATTACATAGTTTAGGGTTCCCAATCGGCTTTAGGCTTAAGTTATTGCGTTTCGGTGCCTAGATTAGTATGCACCGTAGAAACTTACAAAATTCTAAAGCTCTCTAGAAAATTCTGGAACTTTCCGGAAAATTCTAGAATATTTTCAAGTTTTCAGGATATTTTCGGATTGTCCAAAATTTTTTTTTTGTTCCAATTGAACAATCTAATTTCAAATTCTGAATGACTAACTATGTGGCCCGGTTTCGCCCGGGTAGAATAAGAGAAAATTGAATATCATGATTTTTTAGAATTCCTGCAATTAAAAGAACACCTCAATGATTTCGACTTTTCTCGAACACCCGAGAAGTCAAGAAAATTTAAGGGTTTTCCAAAGGAATTGAGAAAATTCTCGGTTGTTCTGGAAAAGTCGAAAATATTAAGCTGTTGTTTTTTAATTGCAGAAATTCTCAAAAATCCTGGTATTCAATTTTCTTTTATTCTGTTCGGATAAAAACGGGCTACGCAGCTAGTTAAATTTTATTTTGTTTGTTCTACATCGCGTTCTTTGTTCTACATGGCTTAATTAATTTACTCAATTTTTTTCACTTTTTACTGTTTTAAACTTATTACTGTTTTTAACTCCTTAGGCTTTAGCTTTTATTCTTTACGTGATTATTTCTCAAGCAAATTACAAGTTATTCTCAGATATATTATATTTTTCCTTCTTATAAACGAAGGCCCCCCCCCCGCGAAATTGAAATTGAAAATTTTCATCTGAATTTTCCGTGTCAAATCCCGAAAATTTTTATCATGTTTAATTTCCACTGAAATTTCAGGACATCTTGTCATTGAAAATTCAAATATTTCATTGATATTCTGTTGAAATGATCTGAACATCAATAAAATACTTAATTTTTCAGTTCAATTATTGCATAAAAATTCATAAAAATCAGGAAAATTCAGAAAAAAATTGAAAATTCATATCATTTTATTTCTGAATATTCATGTTCCATTGAAAATTCAACCAAGTTATGAAATTTCCGTCTCACTGCCACTGAAAACTCATGCATTTCCTTGAATACTACCTAAAACTTAAAATTTGATAACCATTTTTCCGCTCATGAGAATTACACCCATATTTTCCATGAAATTTAGCAAAAATTTACAACATTGTAACAATAGAGTGTATTTCAATGCAGCGTTAAATAAATAAATAATAAACAAAATGTTATTTTGTCGAGAAAATGTTGTGTCGGTGTTGAAGCATTCCAAGGAAATATTCATTCCTTTATGTGAGAGGCAATTAGGAATATTTATTTGAATTAATCATTTTTATTTCTTTCAGAGCGAAGAAAAATACAGAGAGCCGAAGACTCATTGACACGCAGACGTGAGTTTCAGGAGAGATTTACAAATCCAACATCAGCATCCTCTAGATACAGAAATAGTCGTCAGGGCAGTGATACTGTGAGACCACTGAAGAGGGATGAGTCCACTGAATCAGCTAGAGCCGGTCTCCTCCGTGATTTCGAACCCAGCGACTACTACGTTGGTACCACCTACGATAGTGCTAATTCATACAGTGTAAATAATTACGGTGGTGGGTATCAGGCAGCTGATTTTTATGATTTACACAATGATGAAACACGAAATTTCACGTCGTCAAGTAGCAGCCGCCTGACTGGTCCGCCTAGAAGAATTTTTGATGATGTGTGAGTCTGATGATTTTTTAGTTGATTTTTTATATTGAACACTTGGGCAGAATTTATGAAATAGGAATAATTGAATTGATAATATATTACGTAGATGAATAAGCAATAGTATTTATTGATTAATAAGCATTTTTTGGTTTAGTTATTTTATGGAATAATGAAAACCTTTGCCTTAGAGATAAATCTTCATGGTTAACATGATGTAATGTGTTGTGTAATAATTATCAGAAGTTAAATAAATTGATATTAGTGACGAAGTGAAAATTAATAAATTCATAACTTCGAACCTACCGGATGAAAGGCGACATTAAAATTTGCCTTCTTTTGATTTTTGGTTCCGAATGGAAGTATTGTATTCGTCAAATCTGAAATTTCCATTTTTTTGTGTGACGATGACTAATTTTGGTCGCAGGAGTTCGAATATGCTGTTTTTAGATCATATCCGTATGTATGCGAGCTTTTTTTCAAATTCAGTTTTTCGACGATCATTCAAAAAATCATCGACGAAATCTTCAATTATGGCTTAAAATATTTGGATGCCATCTCGATCGAGTTCAAAGATAGTGGCAATCGCATCATTTGCTTTGAAATTATAGCTTTAAAAAGCATTTAATCGAGGTTTAATCATGATTTCGTCGGGATTTAGTCAGGATTTAGTCAGGGTTGAGTCGGAGTTTAGTCGGAGGTTAATCAGGGTTTAACCAAGGTTTCGTCAGAGTTTAATGGAAGTTTAAACCAGTTTAATTTTAATTTAGTCGACGTTAGTAGATGTTTAGCCAGGGCATATGGCGCTCATATTAGACATTTGCGACATTTAGGGATCATATGAAGGTTTGATGGCTGGTATATCGTCTTCCCCACTTTATCATTCAGAAGCAAATTGTTAATTCATTAGCAAGAAAGTCATACTAGTCTTGAGTCCAGAACTAGTCAGGAGAAAAATAAAACTTCAATAATTTACTTATGACCGAGGAGACACCAACATTGCTGTATCAGGAGCATAAACTCTTGTGATATCAAATTTTACATTCATTTTGTTTTCACTCTGTCTAATTTAATCTGTATAATTTAAAATAAATTCAGTTCACTACAAAATTTTATCTCACATTGTCTTAAAAAAAAACTATTGAATTTTAAAGACTCCTGAGGTTAAACTTCAGGAAGGATCCCTAACAATCTGAAATAATGACGGAAAACAGAACATGCACTTTTGTTTTAGCAAAAAAACTATACTTGATTTAGACCTGTAAAAAAATCAATTTTAAAACTTACCGGAAACATTGAAAAATAATTTTTTTTCGGTCTTCCAGCCCATATTTTTTGCATTTTTTAAATTTCTTCTCGGTAAAATATTGATATCCCTCTAATACTTGAAGAAAAAAAGTGATCGGTAGTTCCCGCCGATATAAAAGGAGAAAAAAAATCATTTTCGTGTCACGGGACCTGAAAAACGCCAATTTCGTGACGCGCAGCGCGAAAATTAATATACACACCTCGCCATGGAAAACATATCACCCTCCCCCACGTGTTTGCCATCCTCGCCTTCGGCTCGGAAGGATCTTACACGTGGGGGACGGTGATCTGTTTTCCAAGGACTATTTTTAGCCGATTATCGCTTTCTGATTCTTTTTTCATTTACTTTTCATAATAATTGGAATCCGACCATAGAAATGCGGAGCAGAGTTGAGCGTGTAAATTACGTTGGTATATTACACCGTTTCGAATAACTTTTGTTTTCTGTGTTTGTTTTGATCGCAAAAAAACACTTTTTATTGATCTTTGACGTAATTGCTCTTCATTCAATGTTGTAACTTGTGAATTACGGAAAAAATATAGATATAAATAAGGTTGAAATTAAATTAATCCAACTGTGAAGATGAAAATGGAAATAAAATAACATAAAATAAAATAAAATAGTATAAATGAAGCTAGTGATGGGCCCATTGGCGAGTTTATAAAATCTGAAGAAAAATTAGAAAGTTTATTTTCGGAAGCAGATTGATGAAATTATTAAAAAATTGCCATTTTTGAAAATTACGAGCATTTTTTCGAAAGAATTTGTAAACAATCAATTTCCCACCATAAAAATCATTTCTTCGAAATCGTAACAAATTTATTCATGTTTAGAATTTTGCCAGAAATCGATTTCATGCCTAAAAAATAAGGTTTACTGTAGTTTAAAAAATTGCAATTATTTATTTATAAACAAAGAATATTGAAAAGAGTAATAATTCGGTGCAAATTGTAGTTATTTGAATGTTCATGATTTTTTAAAAATTGGTGTCACGCAATTTAATTGACAAATTGGATGATTGAAAATGGGTGAATCTATAGTGTGGTCTGTACCAAACTATGAACGATACTTGGGTATCCTTAAATTGTTTATTTCTTCACTCGATAGTTTTCAATTTTTGCATTCATATTCACAATTGGAAAGGGAAAAGAGAAAAGATCGTGAATAACAACCATTAAATTGCTGCTCGATATATTTTCTTTATTATTATTTCCCATTTTCATTGATTACGAACTCGATTCGGCAGTTTCTTTGCTTCCTAGCACTGATTGTAAAAAGTACCGACACAAGAAAAATAAAAATCTTGAACATCTTCTTAGACTCGTCCCTAAAATGTTATATCCAAATAACAGGCGAAAAAAGTATATCATTCAGTACTGCAACACTTAATGAACACTATTGAATCACTTGTGTGAAAATAGTTGTATCAGATATCTCACTTTTTCTGTCGTTTCTCAGAGCTTTAAAAAATATATGTCCTTTCTATTTGTGTACAATTTCATATTTAACAATAAACTTTGATCACCACACAACATGTTTCTTTTATATTCACGGAAGACAAAATAAAATACATTATGCCACTCGTGAAACATCACACAAAGTCAACATTGCAGACTGAATACAAATAACGTAAATTGAAAATAAGAAAAGTAACGAAAAAATTGTCATGAATTAACGTCAAATTCTCTAGTAATTCAAAAAATAATAAAAGTTCCAGAGTAGTCAATCGTGCATGCGGAAATTTAATAGAAAATTTTATGGGCATTCTGTTGAAAATTCTATTCGATTTTTTTCTGTTTGTTTTTAATTTGTTAAACTCTTTCTCTAGCAATTTATTAAGATAAATTTTCAAAAAAATTTTCTTCTATTTTCTTTATGCAAGATAACACTTGCAGCATTTATATCGAGGAACTCACAAGAAAATCTAACGAAATAATTCATATGGAAAAAACCATTAAATTTTTCTATCAATAAGATTCCAATAGAATACCCCAGCGAATGTACTTTCAAATTTTCCCACACATTATAATCATCATTCGATGGACGGAAGGAGAGAGGAAGAAAAATCAAGCGAAATAGACAATGTAAAATGTAACAATCACTAGAAGAAAAAAAGATAGAGTATAAGCAATAACAATCCGTACTATTTTCACATGCTCATTATGTGCAATTCTATTTTTCTCTCGAATATCTCTGGGAGTGGGAAAGTCCGGCATAATCAGCAGTGGCTCAAGCAGCATCAGACTCGACCTGTGATGATGCATTCGCACCGATAATCTCAAGCCCTCAGTTTTATCTCTATTGAGTCTACTTTTTCGATTTTCATAGTCCATCCAACATTCAAAACTCTCCTCCTGAAGATTCTCAAAAATTTTTGGTTTGAAAACAGCATCTTTTGAAACTCTACAGAATGAATCCAGAGCCAGCCGATGATACACTTCAGTATTTGAATTTCTGTCCCCCATTTCGTCGTCATACAGTTGAATATGTGGAGAAAGGACTGACTTCAGATGAAAAACATCTTTGCAATTTTCTTTCGAGTAAAAAATCCCAGATGCATGCGTTTTTAGTATATTCACCACTGGCATATAGTCTTGTTGGAGCCCCTCCGGAGTGTTCAATTTGAAGAGAAGCTGATCCGAACACAATTCAAGCTGATGCATCGATATCTCTCGTGCACGAAGAGGTTCCCCTTTGTAAATCAATCGATCGCTGTAAACTCTCGAGTTTCCACTGCATTGTGCACACACATGGCACACCTCTGTCCTGATTTTTTCCCCAGCATCTCCACAATATGGCTCACAATAATCGATCATCCTCTCACTGCATCCAGTGTTACAACCATAAATTTGATTGATCTCTTCGTAAATATGATCATTCAACTGAACGTCATTAACATAACTAGGATTAATTGGATTACAACTATCATGGCACTCTACAACGGCTGTGCTACTTGTGTGAGAAGATGCACTGTCCTTGCTATCACGGGATCTACAAAAAAATGCGTGTGTACCTTGCTGGATTTTAGGATCATGTGTTTGTGAAATAACAGTATTATTACCGAAGCACGTGTTACTGCCCCTAGTGACGTGTTTATCCTCTAGATCTGAGTATTCTAAATAACGACGATGAACACACGCAAAATTATATCAGTTGGCGTAATCACTCGATGATTCCTCTAGAGACTTGAATTTATTCAAGTCATACAGTGTTTCAAGAATAGTTGCAGCACTCCAGGCCTGAGTGCGACAGCTGTCCCGACAGTAATCCCCATCTTTATTCGTCAGTTCTGGAAGTCCCCTCCAGTGATTCGTCGAGGCTTCGACGAAGTGTTTCGAGAGGATTGCTTCAGTCGATTGAATGGTCCTCCTCAGATGTTCCCTTTCCCCAACTAGAGCTGCGAAATGAAGTCGTGCACGCAGAAAGAAGCCCATAGGCCAGATCCACTCTGGCCCCTGGTGATAGTTCCACCCCTGCGCGACCTTCTGATCAGTCCCGTCATTCGCGTTATCGTAATACCCATTGTATGCCCAGTCAGCTGGGTCCAGGGTCTTCATTCCCAGTGGCCCCAGCAAAATCTTCTCAGCTTGTTGCAGTGCACTCCAGGCATGTCTCGGAGTGAATAACTCAGGAGCCACTGCCAAGGCAATAGCAAAATTAGGACGTAACTGGTAATCAGCCCATGCCTGGGAGGCTCCATGGCTGTCCTTGCAAATTCCTCGACGATGAATCAACTCAGGACACAATTCCCCATTTTTTGGTACCTCATTAACGTAAAAATATCTTTCGAAATTCTCCTGAATTTTGTCTGCCCACTGCTTATAGCTCCAAGTCACTGTACTTCCGTCTCTGTTCCGTCGTTGGACACTCCCATGGGGGAACAAATTTTGTTTATACAGTTCAGCAAAGTACGTCAGAACAGACTTGCTGAGTCCAACAATCTCAACAGCTGATCCGTCCCGAGGCGTCGCAGGTTTACCCTTGTTACCAGCCTTCTCAGACGATCCCATTTTGTCCATCCACGTCCCGCAGTTAGCGTCATTCCCACCGAAAACAAATCCAGTCTCCGGATGAACCCCAATTTGATTATTGAACCCACGATCAGTCATTTGTTCGTCGATCTGTCTCCCCGCATTTCTCTCACGGAAGCACAAGCCCTGGAAGTGAACAGTCAAAGCCTCCTGAATGACGTCGTGCAGAGGCTGTTCCATCTGACCAGCTGGCAGTGCTGGGGAATCATCGGTTGGGTAGAGCCTCGAAACCTTGTCATTGAGAATCTTCAGACCATCGGGAACCTCTTGGGTGTAGCACTGAATGGTGTACAGCCACCACCAGACAGCATCACGACAATTGTACCTCGCGTTTTTGCCCCTATCCAACAGATTAGGAATTAATCCGTGCCTGAGGGTCCCAGCGAACCCCAAGATGATGAACCTGGCTTCATCGTAACGTTCTGTCAGCAGCAGCAGTCCTCGCAACGCGATGAAGGTGTCACGACCCCAATTGCGCATGTAGCCGACGGTAAAGTGTGGTAAACCAGCTGACAGTGTCACACATGCCTGCTCCCTCACGCCATTGCGCTCATTGATCTTCGGTTTTGGGGCTTCCAGGGAGGGAGAGAGGTCTGGCAGAGGCGCAGACCTGATGACTCCCCCCATCTGCACTGAAACCAGTGACAACAGTTTCACAAAGGTCGACCCACCCTCCACGAACTTGGACATTTTTCTGTAGCACTGCTCCAGCAGGCTCATGTAAACATTGACGATGATGACGTCGAAGTACCTTGGAACGAGGTACCTGGGGATGAGTTTGAAGGGCTCAGACTCTCGCTCAAGCCACTTGCCAAGGGCGAGAGTGCTCTCGTCGTTCTTCAAACGCTGCCAGGTGTAGTCTATCAGCCAGTTTCCATCACGAAGATTTCCACAGAGTGGATGCCCGAGATCGTTGTTCGGTCGAATGTCAGCCAGGAGGGAGACAACCCCCTGAAGACCAGCGTAGACAAGAGGTCCATATCCAGGGACATCGTAAACCCCGATTTTATTCTCCGTTTCATCTCTCTCCTCTTGATCACAGCGGTAGAGTACTTTGTTCATGTCCGATAGTTCTAGTTTAGAAACAATGGAGAGTAATTCCGAGGAATCGATGCCAATTGTGATGGATTTAATGGTGCTGTTGAGTGCCTCGAGGGCTGGTCTAATGTTGGAATGAAGGGAGACTCGAATTGCGACGACAGAGCCAGGCTGGAAATTAACAAAATTCAACTGAGTTATTTTAGTATCGCCAGAGTCGACTTTCTGCAGAATCCTGGAGTCTGGAATTTGAATGTGTTCTCTCATGTTGACGATGTAATCAGCGAGTCCATTGATGTAGTGTTCATTATTCTGATGCATATCTGGGAATCTGAAGGGAGTTGCTCCATCTTTATAAGTGAGAGAAGCCTCGAGGATGATCTCCTCAACGACCCCTTCGACCCTGAGAGGTCTGACACTCCTCCTGAGATCCCTGGCACTCGAATCAGGATGATGAAAAGCAGTGAATGCAACCAGAACTACACTCTCGTGTGTCTCAGGCGAGTGTCTCGTCACAGCGACGACGTCAGTGTCCATTTGATCGACGAATACTTGAGAGAAATTTTGATTTCCCAGGATGAAGTGGAGATTATTGAGAGCACGTTTGGCCGAAATGATCCCTGAATTATCACCAACGTATTTCGGGTTCTTTTGAGAGAGCTCTTGATCACCAGTCCACGCGGTGTACTGTCTCACCTCATCGACCACGTGAATGTGATGGGGAACGAGTTCGTCGTAGCCTCGGTTGCTTCCACTGGCGCAACAAGCCATGGAAACCAGAGCTGCTGATGGCAGAAGATCGAAGACACTCCTCTTCTCAATTGGGCTTGGATTATCGTGAGTCTGATCTATGAAGAGTGCGTGTGCGATGCAGGGGACAAGTGGACGTTGCTGTGGCTGGAAAAATCCACCCACTGGCTCACCCCCATAACGATAAATCAGACGACCCTCTTCGTGGCTGTCCCAGGCTGCCATTGCCTCGCGAATCAGTGAAGTTATTCCCAATCTGTTCACAAAGATGTTGTCCTTCTGATCGGAATTCGTGAACAGTTCAGCCACTACGTAGAGATTGGGACGAGTCTTACGTGCCACATCCAGCATATACTCAGCAACTGGAATTGGAGTTGAATGGCAATTGTCGAGTCTAACTCCATCGAAAATCCTCGCCATTTGTTCAACGTAGGATGCCATGTGTTTCCACAGGAATGGACAGTCCTCGGGTTTGTCTCCGAATCTCAGTTTGACGCTGTCACCCCAGGCTATCAACTCACGTCTGATGTAGACGTTGGAGCCAGGATCAGCGAAATTCTTCAGGGGATCTCCGTTCATCACCCAACCGTTGTGTGCCATCAGGTAACACCCTGATTCATTATACATCATGGCTTCGCGCTCCGCTAGGCTCTTGGGGGCTCCATAATCCGTGAAATATCGAGGAACCAATGGATTCCTGGCGCTGATCTCCTTCAGCCTCGGTCCATCCGCCTGAACCCGGAAGTATCGAATCCCAGAGATTGTGTTCTCGATGGCTGCATTTAGGTGATTCTGCACTTCACTGATTATCTCCTGATTGAGCTCCTCCAGTTTCCTCCGGAACTCCTCGGCGCAGCGTTTCAAACGTGTATCCTCGTCGAAACAATCTTGTCTGTAAATGTTGTAGATGTTTAGGGCAAGCTGCATGTCGATTGTGGCCTTGAGACGACGATACTGAGGGTCTCTGATGATCGATATCGATAGATTTGAGTCTGGTGGAGTGTCTTCAGGCATTCTGCTGCGTGCAAGGCTGACCAGGTCTCCCACAACTGCATCAATATCTAGGGTGAACAACTCTTCGATTTTTACCAGGGGAAGGTAGTGGCTGTGGAGGGCGTGACGAATTGCGTTGAGGTGATCCTCAGTCTCGACGACTGGAGGTATTCCCTTGAGTTCCCAGTCACCTGCTCCCACTTGAAGTGTTAATTCGAAGAGGACTGCGTCCAGGAGGTACGAGGGACGCAGGTGAGGGCTGTTGAAGCAGTTATACGTGCACTCTGGATGAGACACCAGGAAGGGGCTCTCGTTGGCTGTGTGGTTTAAGACAATGTCGCAGATCGAGAGAACTTTCCATTCGTCTCTGAGTTTGTTCGTCAATGCTTGGATGTCGTCGAATGTCGCTGGTCTGTCGTTGCTGTCGTTGAATGACGAGTTTACTTTCAATTGGTCACTGAGACTGTACGCTGATTGAGATTCGCCTAGTTCTTGGATTGGGGTGAAGTGAATCATGTTGTAGCCCGAGTTTTTTGACACGAGTAATTTCTCCTCCCAGGTGGAGATGGGGCCGAGATTCTTGGATAACACTGTTTGACATTGGATGCAGTCGAGGGACAACTTGTCACCTGATGAACCAAGGGACAATTCGGGCTCCACTAGAACGTAGCCGGATGCCACGGGCGTAAGGTCGCTTTCTTCTTGGCAGTCTGTTAAGTAGTAGTGGAACGAACCAGCAGTGGTTACTCGCAGACTCGCCGAGCCGTCTGTCCATTTCAGTTGGTGATACGTGTGTCTCGCGAATTTTTGGTCTGGGGATATTGGATGGTTGGTGAAGATGTTCAAGTGACGGCCGAATAGGGAGGGGCCCAGGGAGAATTGCAGATGCCAGCCTGGAAATTATTTATTATAGATGAGAGAAGAGGGAGAGGGTGCTAAACGGACACACGTATGAAAACATTCTATGGGATTTCCTGTAGGAAATACTATGGAGAATTCGGACATTTTCTATAGGATTTCTTATAGATTCCTTATCAGGTTTTTCCTATTGGATTTCCTACAGGGTATCTTGTAGGATTTCTTATAGATTTCCTATAAGATTTTTATTAGGATTTCCTTTGAAGTTTAGGGTCATAAGGGTCAGAATGAGGGTCGTCTAAGGGTCATAGGGGAATCATGTGGGTCACATAAAGGCCATTTAAGGGTCACAGATGGGGGTCATAGGATACAGAGGTCATAGGAGGATCAAACGACCTTCGTATGACCCCCCTATAATCCCGATATAACCCCAATGTAACCTCCATATTACCCTTAAATGACTCTAATATGAGCCTTTATGACCCACGTTTGACCCTCATTGTGACCCTTATGCCCATATTTCTTATAGAATATACTATAAGATTTTCATTTGGATTTCATTTGAAATTTAGGGTCATAAAGGTCAGAATGAGGGTCAAAGGAGTCATATGAGGGTCATATGGAGGTCCTATGAGGTTCATATAGGGGTCTCACAGAGTTCATAGGAGGCTCATATGACCCCCATATTACCCTTAAATGACTGTAATATGAGGTACATTACATTAAAAAAGGGAATTTATATAGCGTTCCACATCTTTGTGACGTCATAGGAAATGATTGGATGGGATTTGGATGAGGTAGGAGGGGAACCCGGAATATTCTTAATATGAATAACCAGAAAAAAAAAATTCTGAAAAAAATTGATAATCCATATATGACCCCCACATGATCCCCATACGACACTTTCGGCCCTCATCGTGACCCTTATGTCCCTACATTTTATAGGAAATCCTGTTGGAAATCTCATATGAAATCCTACAGAAAATTCTTTAAACTCTTGAAAGTTTGCCCCATAAACGCTTAAAATGCTTAAAATAGTCCAGGGCCTCCAATTTTTGAGCTACAGACGTTTTTTTTTTGTCAAAATTTTTTACAAGATGTGTGCAATAATAATTACGAGTTAGTTTTTTAAAATTCGAATTCTAGGCAGCTAATTTGGTTTTTTTAACGTAAAAAATTACATCATTCATGTAAAATAGCCAGAAAAATGTTTCTGAAAGAATATATTTGAAATCTTTTGAGGATCATTATTCTGGTTATTTTACATGAATGGTGCAATTTTTGGTTACACTAATTATTCGTTTTTAGAAATATATAATCGATCTTCAATGCATGATAAAGCTCACTCCAACAGCCCGCGAATTTTAAAACTCATAGTGGTCTTCCCTTAATTATTTATAAATTATTTATAGAAAAGCCGACCGTAATGGTTGGGTGAGTTAGGTATTGCTCCGGCGGACATCCGAGTGCCGCTGCGCTTATAGCGCAGTTAGTACTTGGATCGGTGACCACTTAGGAATACCCCCGCCCAAAAATTTCGAAAGATAGGCACGGTGTAGTTGCCTAATGTGCCCCTCTAGTTAGTGTGACAGAAGGGCACATTAGGGCTCTGTACAATCGACCGGCTGTACGACTGGGGTTTTCCATGGTTTCCCGTGGAGTCCTAGCCCGGAATGGGGAGCCTATAAAACCGTGATGGTAGGAAAGAAATATGAATTTAAAAAATGAATATTTATAGAAAATGTTCGCAATTTTTAAAAATTGTAATTTTTCATTATTTCATCAATCTTTCACCAAAAGTACACTTTCTAATTTTGTTTTGTTTTTTTTTTAATGTTTTCTAACGATTCAATATCGAGATTCAAATTCAGAAAAAAGTTTAAATAATGTTTAAATAATAAAATCATCATAAGATATCCGAAAACTTAGGGTCAAATGGGGCTCAAATGAAAGCTCTGATGTTCGACTTCAAAAGTGAAAAATCATTTCACTGGAGAAAAAATAGCCAAAGTACTTGGATATCCGTTCCACTCTACCCTACAACAAAGGGCTCTGGAAAAGTCTCGTCATTCCCCCTGACCCAAAAATATCTTAAACTAAAAACTTCCAGAATAATATAATCGTAAACTCATTTTACCTTGTTTAACTCTGTACAAAATCCCATCCTGATGCTCTCCCTTATTCAACGTTAAAATTCTCACAGGATCATTTTTTGTGGACGCAGCTGTATCAGCAACAACCGTTTTTTGTGCCATATCATCAACCGCCGCCTGAAAATCATCAGAAAATTACAAAAAAAAATCGATAAACACCGTTAATTCTCCATGCTTACACATAAAAAACAGTCAACAAACTAGTGCAAAGTGGTCTCACCCCCGCCTTAATATAATCTACCCGAACAATGGAATCACAAACCATGCAGAGTAACAAAAGCTACTGAATTACTTGAGGTTCCACCTCTGCAAGCAGATATAAAGCTGTAAGTCTATCTTCAATACAATATTGAAATAACATTGCTGTCCCAAGAACATTGTTTTCTGTCATCTAAAATTTCCCCTCTACAATTCCCCCAGTGATTCCAATTACAATGATGATATCAACTTACATAGGACCAAAAAATTCTTAGGCAATTCCATTTAGTGAGTGCTCGAAAGAAATTTCCAATTGTGCTGAGCATATTCGTCATTGATCTCCAAATTGTGCGACCCAACTCCATCGATATTGTTTCAAGTGCAGCAAAGCAAAGATCTCAAAGCTGTTTATATTATGCTATAACTATTCCTTTAGTAAGTGACATGAAAAAAGCATTAATAATTCAAAAAATCTCCAATCACTCTGGATAATGAGCATGCTATAAAGCTACAATGCCATGCGTAATCAGATAGTAATATCACAATATCGCTCGAATGGAATATATTTTTTGGTATTCAGCCAAAATTTCCGTTCTAATTTAGCAAAGCGTATAAAGAGATGAGGTAGAAAGCAATTGAAATAGCAAACTGATCGATTATGAATCAAATAAATTTAGAAATGATAAGAATTTTTATCATTTACCTCAGTGATTATGCGCCAATTCACGTGAAACAATCGTGCTAATCAACTGGGACCTAGCGTTCAAATATGACCTCTGTCTTGGGGAATATTTATGTAAAGGTCATACATGCAATAATAAACATTTTTCACGGGAAGAGGTTATGTATCGGGTGGTTTTGACAGATTCTATTGGATAAAATTGTTGTGGGGAGGATGCACTTGAATTTAAATTGGCCAATCGTCATCTCAGGCTGTTTGAGCCACAAAAAATACGAAAATTTCCACTGATTCGTCAAGCTTCAATTAATCTCAAAGCCCGTGATAATGATTCGAATGTTTTAATGTGGTTATGAAACTAATGGGAAAAAAATTAAATAATTGTTAGAGAGAAGGGATTGTCAGGAAAATTAGTCCTGTGAAATTGTCCCTAACTTCAGACAACTTCAGAAAAACATCACTGTCAAACGGACGTATCCATGTAGAAATACACAGTCACATGCATGCAGTTTCAAAATGGCAGCTGCAACAGACGAGTTGAGTGAGTGGCACATAATAATTTAACATTTATCTCAAGTATTTAGTCATTACTTCAAGCTTTCTCGCTGATGATTGACATCTTCTCTGAGTGATTGATAGCATATAAAGGATGATAACAGAATTCATCCCAAATCATTCAATTTCCATACGTGTAAAAATCGAATGTCATGCCGGAGATCTTGGCCAACTTCAAACGAGTCGTGTACATTTTCCGATTGTATATTCCAGTTTTTAGAAATGTTTATCCATTTTTCGAAAATTATTTTTTTTTGCGCTTGAAAAAATTAATTAATTGTAATTCAATTGGAATCAATTTTTGCAGTCGTTGAAGGAAATTTGTCTCAACAGCTTTGACAAAAAGAAATAAACAAATTTTTCCTTATGCGTGGACTCTTATGGGATCTATTTTCAAGTTGATAGTTTACTTACTGGAAGACTTGAAAAATAAGGATTAAAGTGGAGGGCAATGTGACGAAAAATATACGGACTCTAGCGGGCAAAAAAAATCTGGAGTATCCAGACAAATATTGGAGATATTTGAAACATTAAGTCCCATATAACCTTATGTTAATGCCTACACTGAGGCAAAAAGAAAATATATTCGAAGTATAAAGAAATCTCGTGCTGAACACTTGACGAATTTCCTGAGATGAAAAATTTTGATTGCCGAAACAGATGTAGTTGTTCCAAGGAATTGTTATTTCCTGTGCAAGCACCAAATTTCATTGCTATTCGTTATTCTACAGTATCTCACAACCGATCCTTTTCTTTTGAGGGTATTTAGAGTGCTTTTTGCAGTCCAAATTTCCTCTTCCACTTTTGGATTTGAGCACTTTTTTCGGCTTTTTGGAAAATGAATTTGGGTCCGAAAGGCCGTAGATTGTTGCATATGTAGGCATCAAACATACTGAGAAGAAAAAAAAAAGAAAACAAATTCTGAACAATTGTAAAAAATAAATATCCGCCCCTGAAGTCAGTAATAAGAGACCAAAAGAAAAAAAGGATGGACCAAAAAAAAGCTCAGATCCAAAAGTGAAAGGGGAACTTCCCACTTGGAAAAGCATCCTCTTCAATACCCTCGAAGAAAAAGGATCGATCGTGGGAAACCCTGTACACTACCATAAATATTTTATCCTCGAAATATGTTTGTTTCTCTGAGGAATAAGGGAGAGTAATTTTTCACTGCAAAGGAAATTAATTCTCAAATTGAATACTAACGGTGATATGGTAGCAATCCTGTAACTCAGGAATACATTTTCTTTGTAACTTCACTTTATGAGGGATATTTTCACCCCAAAAATTGCGTGACCATCTCCTATGAATGATTTTTTGTTTGAACAAAACTTGTTTGAAAACATGTTTTTTTTTTCTCTCGACGTACGCCACTCGTCATGGCGCGGCCATGAATACCAGTATCCGCGGTCATGGGCATGGTCATGAAATCTCTATGACCTTTGAAGACAATTTGAGGGTCCTTCCATGGCCCCAAATCTCAGGGGTTCCATGGCCTCGTTGCTGGGCGAACTACGTTGGTTTTTCCCATGTGACCTATGCGATTTCTCAATTGATCGCTCCCATTAGACTCTCTTGCGATAACTTCGTTCGTCTCTCCCGTCTGACCTTTGCAATTACTCTATTCATCGCTCCCATTAGACCTTTGCGATAACTACGTTGGTCTCTTCAGTCTGACCCTTGCGACTACTCAATTAATAGCTCCCATTAGACCTTTGCGATAACTACGTTAAGTCTCTTCAGTCTCACTTGCGATAACTATGTTGGTCACTCCCATTTGACTCTTGTGATTACTCAATTAATCGCTTCCATTGGACCTTTGCGATTACTTCGTTCGTCTCGCCTATTTGACCCTTGCGATTACTCAATTAATCGCTCCCATTAGACTCTTGCGATAACTACGTTGGTCTCTTCAGTCTGACTCTTGCGATTATTCAATTTATCGCTCCCATTAGACCTTTGCGATAATTACGTTGGTCCCTCCCGTTTGACCTTTGCGATTACTCAATTAATCGCTCCCATTAGACCCTTGCGATAACTTCGTTCGTCTCTCCCGTTTGACCCCATCCCCCTCAATAAATGTTCGCCCAGCAACGAGGCCATGGACTCCCAAATCTCAGGGGCTCGATGGCCTCGTCTTCAAAAGCCATGGATATTTCATGCCCATGCAGACATGACAAAGATAACTCTATTTGTCTGTCGAAGAACAATCAAATAATTCTTGAATGCTTGTGGTTTTGGATAGAAAATTTTAAATTAAAAACTTTTTAATTTCAGCAATGTCATGTTATAAGCAGATTTATTACGCACGAATGGCTGCTGAAAAATCGTTATTATTCACTCTATTTCAGTTCTCTTGGAGAGGGTTTTCCTGTGTTTGGGAAGTGCCGAAACAGACGAGCAACTGCAGGCCTCAGTATGCAAATTCCTGCCCCCAGTTTTACTAAAACTCTCCAGTCCCCAGGACGGAGTGAGGAAGAAAGTGATGGGTCTTTTGATTCACATCAACAAACGAGTGAAGAGTCGACCAAAAGTTCAGCTGCCCGTTGAAGCACTGTTGCTGCAGTACCAAGACCCAGCAGCCAGTTCCTTCGTCATAAACTTCACGATAATCTATATAAAATTGGGCTACCCCCGAATGGAAATGAAGAAGCAGGCGGAATTGGTGCCAAGTGTCTTGAACGCAATCGAGGGTAAACCCCTGCCTCACCAGGATAGTCTAATGCTCATAATTATGCCAGCACTGGGTCACATTCAGGCCCCAATGAGTGCCGAGAAGCGAGCAGCACTGCTGGGTCTCCAAGACAAACCCTATGTTGCAAAGCAACTAATAAAATTCATGCTGGACATGCTCCTCCTACCTTACGGTTCAGTCGGTCAGACAGACGGTCAGCAGGCTGGACAGCCCATCGACTGGTCGAAGTTCCCTGTCCCCCCAGGTCTCAGTGAATATTCCTTCAAAAGAGTTATCGGCGAGACTCCACCCCTCCCTGAACAACTCGAACAAGTGAAACTGGGAATTGTCAAATTCCTAGCCTCCGGATTCTTTCCAGAATCTGATATCCTGATCCACCTGATTGTCGCAGCTGCTGACACAAGATTCAGTGTCGCCAACTTAGCTGACATGGAGCTGAGGAAAATCGTCAGCTCCCTCGACTGGTCCTCTATGTCCTTAGCCCTTCCCCTCTATACTCTGTTCCTCGGATCCAGCGGTTTCACAACCCAAAAAGTCATTAAACCAGAAATGAAGCGGTTGGCAGCGAATACGAGGATTCGACTGAAGCTGCTCCAGTATTTGTGCCGAGTCAGCAAAGGTGGGCTCGTCATTCCACCAGCAATTCAAGTTGTTTTCGACTCTCTCTACGGTAACAACACAAACAAGAAGTTGAAATCCCTGGCACTGGAGTTTGCCCTCAACATGGTGCAGCAGTGCACATTGGGGCCATTGAGCAGAGTAGCTGGAGTCATTCTCAAAGGAATGATAAAACTCATCGTCGAGGGTGAAGTCGAGCATCAATCAATGGCTTACACGATAGTCGGTCAGTTGGGTCAGCGAATTCCAAGTTTGGTGAACAAAGATGTCAGATTAGTGGACAAGTTCTTCGATGCTCTGACCACCACTGATGGTGAATTGAGGAGAACAGTCAGGGATGCACTCGTAGCGATGGCTTCTTCATTCGTCCTCGATCGTGATAATGAACAGGGGATCACCCTGATGAATTCCTTGCTCTCTGCTCACATTGAGTCGGAGGAACCCAACGTGAGGTACGTCGCAGTTCACTACGCAGCGACGGTTTTTCCCTCTGATGATGCCCCCTCCAGGTACCTCCTACTCCTGGCCTGTGGCGACGAGAAGAATGAAGTCGCCTCTGAAGCTGTCAAAGCCCTCTATGGAACAGCCCACAGAAATGCACGAGACAAGCTCGATGAGAAGGAATTGTTCCTCCCTGATTTTCCTCAACTCGTTTTGTACATAAATTGGCAGATGGGCACCAGAATCACCTCGAAACGCGTGATTAGAGTTGGAAATCACACATTGCCATACAATATCGCTACCTTCAACGAAATTGTTTCGTACCTTCGCTTGTGTTTAGCCAAGAGTGCAGGTGTCAGGATACAAGGGGGCCTGAGTGACAGTCATCCCTGCGAGCATACGCCCCTGATTGGTCGCTATCTCAAGGAGCTTTTGAAGAAAGACAAGAAGTCCATCGACGCCTATCTCGAGATTATAAAATGCTTGAACCAGGCGACCTCTGACACAGTCCCCCTCTACGCTCTTTTGGAAGTAATTGGCTCAATTTCTCCAGAAATGTCTGATAAATTTACTGAAGAGTTGCCTTTCCTCAGGGGTCTCCTTGCCTCGACGAAGGCAGAGGTGCGAGAGTTGGCTGGCAAGATTCACGCAATTGTAATGGCGCATCAATCGAAGCCTGAGGAGTTTGAGACTCGTGTGAATGAATTAATTACAGCAACGAAGCATAAGACACTTGAGATTCAACATGGTGCTCTGCTGGCTCTGTCATTCATGTTTGAGCGAAAGTTATTCCTCAAAAAAACGACAGATACTAAAGAATCTATTCTGACCTGGAAGCCTTATGTAGACGGAGTGAAAACAGTCTTCGAATTTCTGAAGAGTAGCACAATTTTATTGCTGGAAGCAGCAGCTCAAGGAATCGGAAATGTCGGAAAAAGTTATTCTCTCCCCCTGAAGGACGACGACGCTGATAACCCCAGTAAGAAGTGCCTGGTCGAGACTCTCTTTGGGATTCTAAAAAACGCGAAGATGACTCACAGGATCAAGGAGAACGCAGCAACGACCCTGGGGTTGTTGTGCATTGGTGAGGATTTTCCACATACGAAAGACATAATCGAGAAGTTTCTGGAGCTGACGAAAGAAACCAAGGATTCTTCAGTTCACTTCATCATAGCAGAGGCCCTCGTGCTCTCTGTTCAAGGCCCAGCAGCAACAGAAGCTCGTGACGCTTGGGTGCAGCTCCCAGACGAGCACCAGGTGCCCTTCACCCCCCAGAACGACAATTTACTCGAATATCTGGTGGATCGTTTGCTGAAAATTGCCAGTGATCCCCATCCAAACTCTCGTCAGGCTGTCTGTATCTGGCTGTTGGCTATCCTTCGACGAAATGCCAAGAGGAAACACATCCTGGATCGACTCTCGGCCATCCAAAACGCCTTCATGGACTTTTTATCAGAGAACAACGACGTCGTCCAGGATGTAGCATCAAAAGGTATTTGCCTGGTTTACGATACGAGCGAGGTCAGTCAGAGGGATGCTCTCGTCTCAAATCTCCTGAGTCAACTGTCCGAGGGCAGGAGGACAGTAGCTCAAATCACACCAGACACCAAATTATTCGAAGATGGACAGCTGGGGAAGGCTCCAACAGGTGCTAATATCTCCACGTACAAGGAGATTTGCTCTCTCGCTTCGGATCTCAACAATCCAGGCTTAATCTACAAATTTTTACAATTAGCTAATCACAATGCTGTCTGGAATTCGAAGAGAGGCGCTGCTTTCGGATTCTCCGCCATTGCAAGTGTCGCCAAGGATGAGCTGAATAAATATCTCCCAAGTATTGTCCCAAAGTTGTACAGGTATCAGTTCGATCCCACTCCGAAGATTCAACAGAGCATGGCGAGCATTTGGCACGCTATTGTTCCATCGACTCAGAAAGTCTTGGAACAGTATCACGACGAGATCCTCGATGATCTGACTCTCAATCTGACGAATCATCTGTATCGAGTGAGAATCAGTTGCTGCGAGGCACTAGCTGATGTTCTAAAATCAAATGCACCTATTGACTATGTCAAGCATGCACCAGAAATCTGGAAACAGTTATTCCGCGTTATGGATGACATTCACGAAGAGACGAGACAAACGGCTACGAGAACAGCTAAACTCTTCAGCAAAGTCTGCATTCGCCAGTGTGACCCGATGTATGGCAAGTCTGGAGAGCAAATTGTTCAGGCTATTTTGCCAGTTTTCTTGGACATTGGGATTGTTCACACTGTGACAACTGTCAGAGCACTTTCTGTTCAGACAGTGGCGCAGTTGGTGTCCACTGCTGGTCCTCTGTTGAAACCATCTCTCGTTAATTTGATCCCTGCCCTTCTAACCGCCACAGATCTCGAGAATACGAAACTCACCTACATGAGCAATGCATATGGGGTGCAGTCGGACATTCAGGAAGCCATTGACAGTGTTCGCACTAGTGCTGCCAAGAGCCATTACGCAACAGAAACGTTGAAGAAGTGCACTCAGTACATTGATGGGCCCATTCTCAAGGAGTTGATGCCCAAAGTTATCGAGCTCATTAAATCGAGCATTGGACTGGGATCGAAAGTCGCAATCTCCCACTTCCTGATATTTTTGATAATTCAGTCGAAGCAGGAACTGCAGCCCTACGCTGGGAAAATTCTAACAGCCCTTATGAATGGCTTGATGGATCGAAATGCAGCTGTTAGGAAGACGAATGCTGTGACGATTGGACATGTTGTTGGCTCAGCTAAAGATTCTAGTCTAGAAAAATTATTCAATACTTTGAACACTTGGTACATGGAGAGGGAGGATGACTCCATCAGATTGGCGATTGGGCAGGCACTGCAATCTATTAATAATCAGAATCATGAGGTTTTGAAGAAATTCTCAGACATTGTCATGCCTCTCACGTTTTTCGCAATGCATGCGATCAAAGTTCCGGGGAATGAGAATACGATTGAACTGTGGACGGATCTCTGGGGTGACATCGCCCATGGGACTGAGTCTGCTATAAAGCAAAATTTGACATTGATAACGAGTAAATTGAACTCAGCCCTTGAATCAGCCTCTTGGACTACAAAAGCACAGGCAGCGAATGCAGTGTCGACGGTTGCGACGAAAGTGGGATCGAGTATGGATGAAAACTCGAGAAATGGTCTCCTGAAGATTTTAGTCAATGGCCTGCAGGGAAGGACGTGGAATGGAAAGGAGAGACTTGTTCATGCTCTGGCCACATTGGCTTGCAACAGCAAGGAGGCATTGAGTAAAGACCCAGAGCTAATACTGACCATTACTGAGGCTCTTTACAAAGAGAGTAGGAAAGAAAATCTCGAGTATCGTCGTCATGCTCTGAAAGCTTTTGCTGACGTCCTGCATGAGCTGGAGGTCGACCGGTTTACGCAGCTTTACGACATTGCTCAGGATATTTTGATTAAGGTGAGGGAGGGATGAAGATGTTAGTGCATATGGTGAATCACTGTAAATTTTTAATTTTCAGATTGCAAAGAAGAACGATGATGATGATAGCGACAATCGTGCGACTGAGGAGAGTACTAAGAAGAGGGAAGATCAAATGAAACTGCAGGAGACTGTGTATGAAGCACTGGGCAAGGCCTGGCCTTCCTCAATTGAGAGTAAATTAACTCAAGGTAAATAGGAAACGCATAGAAGAACTCGTTAAAAGAATTTCCGACTTACATTGATCAAGATTTAAATATACTAATCGAAATTAAAAAATAGTAAAATGATTGATAATCTAAATTTTCAATTGATAGTGAATTCAATATTTAATAATATGGATCTGTAAATTGTCTATTAAGTAAATAATACTAAATTTCTTATAAGGGATTTCCGATGATCCAAATAATCATCAATTTTCCCAACTAAATTACTGATTAAGGGGTAACGGGAGCCGTCGCATAAGTTTGTTTTTTCAACTCATTTTTCTCCGATTGTGTCCAATATAAATGGCTGAAATTTTCACCAAGTATTGAGGGGAGACTAAGTGTTGTCCTCCATCTATTATTTTTCAGTTTTTTTGCAAAAAAAAAATGCAGAAAACTTGACGACACAGCTGATGCTAAAAAATAATAGGTAGACGACAACGCTTAGACTCTCTTCAATACTTGGTGAAAATTTCAGCCATTTATATTGGACACAATCGGAGAAAAATGGGTTGAAAAAACAAACTTTTGCGAGGGCTTTCATTACCCCTCAATAAATAATTTGGAATTTGAATATTTAAATTGATGATTACTTCAATAATTAAAATTTAAGAGTGATATTAACTAATTGACTACTTGATAATTTAACGGGAATTTCTGATTTATGGGTATGGCTATACCTGATGGGAAATTTATTAACTTCCCGCTAGAGAAGTTATCGTAATCGGAATTTGCGTTTTTTCCCTAATGATTGAATGAAAGGCAATCGGTCGGGAAGTTATTAGTCGATCCGTAATGAGTCACACCCACTCCAACCCAACCGCAATGGGAGCGAGCGACCAACAACCCAGTCGAATTTTTCTTTTCGGTTCTTATATCTGAAGCAGGGTTGGGCGTGTAAATTACGTTGGTAAATTACACAGTTTTTTACCGGCGTAATTTACGTAAATTACCTCGACGGGTTTTTAACATTTTTTACATTATTTCGAAAAGCTTGCAATTTTCGGTTACTGAAATGTTTTATTTTAATCCGACTGACGGAGACGCAGTATTGGACGCATAAATATCATAAAGAATAGTATATCATGTTCGGAGGCCATAAAAAATGTAAATTTCAACTTCATTTTGTTCGGTTAGAACACGGTTCTCGGTACTCGGGGCATAAAAAATTATTTTATGTCCCTAGGACCGTGAAACCGCAACTCTAACACCAATTTCCTCGGTTAAATCGCGGTTTCCGGGCCCATGAAACTCTTGACTCATGTGGTAAAAATAAATCCACATTCGTTATGAAAAAACCTTCATCGCCTGGTGACATAATATACTATTACATCACGTGGTACGATTCCCGACATGTTAAGAAACTCAAAAACATGTTGCATTGAAACTTGAAATCAGTAACTGGGTTCTGAAAACTAGAAACTTTTTTTCTCTCCGTACACTATCTAAAGAGCAAAGAGAAGCTGTTGCACATCAATAATGAATCTCCATATCATTTCCAGATGAATATTCCGTGCAGTTCGTCACTCACTGTCACGAGACATTGGCAAACAGCACGAGGCCCATCCAGGTTGCGATCATGACCACACTGACCCTATTCGTCGAAAAACTAGTTCTTCTAAAATTGACTACTCCAGAATTAACGGAAAATGACAAAGAAAAAGTGTGCAAAATTTGTGAGACACTTCATCAAATACTGAGAGTGTCCATAGGGATATCAAAGTACACGAGAATTCGTAAAGAGGCTCTCAACATAATTCTGATTCTCTCGAAAAAACTAATAGATCAAAGTAACACTAAACAATTGGAAAAAGTGAAGACTCTATTTTGCGAACTATTGCCTGAGCTCTCTAAGGACAATCAACCAGAAGTAAGAACAAGAGTGGCTGATATTAAAGCGATGCTGCAGATATGAAAGAAAGACTAAAAATCGTGAATCACAAAAAATTAAAAAGAACTGCTTATAACAACTCAACAATAATTCTAATGAATTCAGAGAAGTTCGTGAAATTATTCAACTTACTATTACTACATATATATTGTTCTGTATATATATTCAGTTAAAAATATCATTGAATTTATTTTCAATTTATAAATCTTGTTTATTCTCAATGACAATTTCTACTTGCTTGAACATCGCAAGTAGAAAATGACACATTGCAATATTTTGTATGGAAACTGATTTTTTTGGGCGGAGGATGTACATTTAAACATTCTTACGAAAGAGGCTGTATTGAAATATAACTTAATTTAACACACCTGTACATCATTTGATTTTTTCCAGTTAACTTAATATTTATCCTTAAAAATGTTCGCTGCACCCCAAAGAATGAAGATATGCATCCGTTTTACCATCCACTGGGTAGATCATGGAAAAATTTATGAAATTTTTTGGGGGGAAGGAACTTCTTTTTATTATGAGAATTTATGGAGAGAAAAAAAGGAAATGATACTTGATGTAAATTAAAAAATTCAGATTTGCATTTTTTTTAAAACTCATTATTGTAGGCATATAGGGATTGAAAAAAGTGACATTCAAAACACTTCAATTTTGGCGGAATCACCAACACCTTTGTCAAAATTCCGCCAGTCTGCAGAAGCACCGACAATCGGCCGTGTTGGGGTCATAAAGCAATTAGGTAGGTGTATTTTACGATCTTTCAATATATTCAATTAGAACAGCGGAAACTGTAGTATCTGGGTAATATGGAAGCACCTGGAATCCCTGATAATCCAACGAGTTCAGACTTCAAGTCACTCACAAAACTTTTTGCTTCATATTCAAGCAGAAAAACGATGATAAAACAGGCTCGATTGTATTCAATCCACTTATGATCTGTTCATCATCAAATTTTTTAGTCATTCTTCACCTTCTTCGAATCCCTTCTGAAGAGTTTGTGAAATTACTCAACATTTTATTGCCACATATATATTTGGTCCTGTTTATGTATTATACTATGGTCCTGTTCATAGTTGAAAATATCATGGAATTTATTTCCAATTTCTAAATCTTATTTATTATCTATTATTAGAAAATTCAATATTATAATATTTCGTAAGGGAAATGATTCTTTTGGGCGGAGAAAATTCAAACATTCTTACAAAAGAGGCTGTATTGAAATACAACTTAATTTAACACACTTGGACATTATTTGATTTTTTTCAGTAATATGGAAGCACCTGGAGTCTTTTTATTCTTAATAGTCCCCGACAATTTGACGAGTTTGGACTTCAAATCACTCACAACATTTTCTGCTTCATTTTCAATCAGAAAAACGATGATGAAACAGGCTCGGTTGTATTCAATCCACTTTGTAATTGTCTCATTATCAAGTTTCTTAGCCAATTCCTCACCGAACGTGGATTTCTGTGTCTCAAGGGCTAGTTTGTCAGCTTGAATTAATTTTTTCAGCATCATGTGTAACCCTGGATGTTCCACAGGGGCATACTCCACTTCTCCCTCCTTCAATTTAGTTTTCGAAGCTGTCAAAAATTCTGAAATGGCTTGAAAAGCTGTTGCAAGTTTCTCTCCATTCCCAGCTTTTAATATTGCCAATGTTACCATTGCAATGGAGCCATTCGCCAGCCAGAAAACGCAGTCTTCAGCGATAGATTCAAGCAATGGATCATTGACAACTTCCACCAGCTCCTTTTCTCGAATCTCCTGAGGTTTTTTGCTCATGGCATTTCCATCCCCCTCTTTGAGTTGGTCGATCAATTGAGGGTGGAAATGATGAGTATCCCTCCGTGCCACAAGATATAAAATAACTTTCTTTCCAAATTCACTCAGTACGATGTCTTTAAGATCGTCCATCAACTCAGAAATCAGAATTTTCTTCACTAAAACTGTGTCATCCACCGAATCAAATACCGAGAGCAGAATAGCGTGTCCATGTTCGGATATCGCAATATCTTTAACGTGATCTTTCATCGATTTAAGGGATAATTTTCTGTCTTTAGTTGTTCCATGCCAGATGCAAATCATTGCGATTCTCGAGCCCTCTTTCGTCTGTGATAATTCAAAAATAGAATCCCTCAGCATTACTATCAATTCACTTCGATCTTCAGCAGAACATATCGATAAAAATTCAGATAAAACTGTGAGAACAAGTGTATTATTGATTACTTTCTTATTCAATATTCGAACTAGATTCATTTTCACTGCTGAAAGAGTCGCTGATTTCATGTCAGTTGCTACCTTGAATACGTCGTTCAAACACTTTATTTTATCGTCTTTCGATTTTTTGTAGATATCTCCGTAGAATTCTTGTTTCAACTGATTTTTCGTTGACTCGGTTATGCAATTGTTGAAGGCATTGTTGAAAACGGAAGCTGACACACTGTGAGATATGATGCTGATCACACGACCCTGACACGAAGTCATCACAGTTTGTTTGATCTCTGGAGAGCCATATTTCAAGAATTTCTTGACGCAGTTAACAGCGTACTTGGACATCCACATCTCCTTCAACTCAGGTGTCAATTCTTCTACGATCGATTGTCTGATTTCTGGAGTGCAGAATTTGATTAACCACTGGACGATTCTCGATATGTCATGGGTGAAAATGAATTTTTTGAAATTTCCCTTGAAGAGTTGGAATAATTTTTTAGTTATTTCCTCTTGCTCCTTCCCGGTGCAATTCGATTGCCTCAATCTCTCCCCCAATTTCTTGGCATTCAGCGCCACATCGTAACCAGCTTCTAATCGTTTAATTTTACGCTTTTCTTTCAACTGTTTTTTCTCTTCTTTGAGAGCCTTCCAGTCTGGCTTCTCCGTGGACTGCTGCTTGCCCGGTTTATCCTTGGAAGTGAACGGTTTTTTCGTCCCTGTGGGCTTCTCAAATTTCGGTTTTTGGGACTGTTTATTCTTGATTTTCGAGGATTCTTCGACTTTAATGGATTTTTTAAATTTTTTGGCTACAGGCTCCTCTTTTATTTCCGCTGATTTACTTCGTTTCTTCATGGTGTCCTTAGGTGAATCTGAAAAAATCAGGGATCTGTGATAATTAATCAATGAAAGTGAGCAGAATTTTTTTCCCAGTGAATTTTTGCCTTGGAACTAATTTATCCCATGTAGAATTTTCCCCAGGTTTTTTTCCCATTGAAAATTTTCCGTAAATCATTTCTCGGCGAATTGTTCTCATTGAGATTAATTTTCCTTAGGAATTTCAGTAGCGATGTGGTAAACCGGGTTAAGTCGAAAAATTTGAATTTTACAGGAGAGTCGAAAAACTGATAGTGACTGCCCTTTTGTGAATTTAATCAAACTTAGGCACGAATTTCGTTCAGTATCGAGAGAGATTTTAGCATAAGTTGCAATTTCTGCAGACCATTTTTTAACAATTTTCATTGACTTAGCTCGGATTATTTTCCACACTTGAAAAGTTAAGTGGACTTAGCACTCTTGATTTTCCCGTCTAACCGAGTTATGTCGACTTAAATCGCCACACAATAAGAAAAATCGATTGAGAAATTATAAGGTGGATGGATTTAATTAATTTTCATTTATTCTAGTCATAATAAAATTCTATAGTCGGTAAAGTGGGAAAGCTAGAAATCCAATTCCTTAATTTAAACTACTCGAATTTAAGAAGAATATTCAGAATACCCATTGAACACATGCGAAACGAGCTAAGTTAACTTAGCTCATTTTTTAAATCATTTTTTTCGGGTTATGTCGACTTAGCTCCTCTGAAATGGATTTTTCCCAAAATTTCGACTTGACCCGTTTTATTTCATTGTCACTCATTATCTCCAACTGAGGAATTCTTGTTTCGATTGCACGACGAACACTTTCATTATCAATTCAAGTGTATAGAAAATTGCTCTCAAGTATTGTGCTCTTTGTACAAGTTTTTATGTAATCAAAGTCCTGATGAAAAAAAAATCTAGATATAACGCAAGCTATATGAATTTATGGGAGGGACATCATATCTAGCCTTGAGAATGTTTAAAAATTCTCTTGTCCTTTTGTTCTCTCAGTCTGAGAACAAAATTATTTATTATGAAATTTCACGATTTTTTAAATTGACAAGAGAATATTAAAGAAAATATTCTCTTGTCATGCTATTTTCTTAATATTTCGATTGCTAAATTATATATTCTTAAAACTTCTCTAGGGACAAGAGAATCTCATCCTGTTGGAAAACTTTTTTTCTGCACTGAGATAAAAAAAACATGTTTAAACCTAGGCTACTTCACTACTTGCAAGACAATGAAAAATGACAAACAGAATAATATTAAAAAATTGTGATGGCATTTCCATCAATGACAGTTCCATGGCATGAAAACAATAACAACAAGTAGCAAACTAAAAATTTCGAAAGCAGAGAAATCATTAGCAAGCAAATTGCTAATTGGTTAGCAACAATATCCATATTAATTGACAAAAAAAGCAATTAAGCACTTGTTTCTCGAAATCGACTCCTCGGAAACAAATTTATCAACTGACCTCAGCCTGCGCTCATTAAAAATGGGAAGAATGGTATTCGTGACAGAAAAAAAATGCCCCAACGTCATTAATAATTAATGAGTTATCGACATTTTAAAAAAAGTCAAGTGTCCAGTCACCCCATAAATACATAAATTAGTTGGCAGGTTCCACATGAAAAACACATGTTCAACTAACCTCAAAACCTCCGAATCGAACAGAATTGTTGCTCCCCGTCTAATGTTTGTCGTCCCTTCGCCTGCCCCCGCCCCCCTGAAGTTGCCGATTCACAATATTTCCTGATAACCGTCAATTTTTCGGTAAATTAAATAACAATAAATTGATCTTTAAAACCCCGGACCAACAGAACGTGTATTCGGCGTTTCTGCGCATTCAGCTCTGTTCAGCTCTGCGCACTCCAGCTTGCGCGTGCGACAAGTCCCTTGACTTTTCTGGACTCTTCGTTGGTGCTTTCGTCGTTCGTCCGTCGTCGGAAGCAGTCGGAAGGTTTCGCTTGATTTCTAACGCAAAGGCTGCCCCTAACCAATGACAATTCCCGTAAAAGGTGGAAATCCAGTGGTGGGAACTGAGAACTGATAGTTCAAGGGTGGGGGCTGTAATCTTGTGACGGTGACGGAGATCGGAGAAGTCAGTTGCACTTTTACGAGAAAGCCCACTGCTGGCTCTTCTCGGATCGGTGTATGCCTTTTTAATAAAAATCCAAATAATCTAACACCTCAAATCCACAACATGCTAATGAGTTTAAATCGTACTAAAATATCGCAAAAACAGTGCAGTGGATTTAATATACGAAAAAAATTGTACAATACGAGACATTTACCTTCTTGATCGTGGAGTAAAGTTTTTAGTTCACTAAAATATAATAAAATTAAGGAAAGAGAGAAATATACATAAAATTGTGCAATAGAGTGAAACAAAATGCCAGGCAAAGGTGGGAGAAAGGGTAACAAGGCGGGTAAGTTTCGCACTCTGTTACATAAATATTAATCAGTTCGTTGAAAAAACGTTGCACTCCGAAATTGAGATGATGAAATAATCGTATTAGTTATGATGGAAATTCCAATGGAATACCCTGGGCACGTGGTAACCATGTTGGAGCACGTTTTATGGGCATGGTATGCCCCCACGCGGCCTCATCCCATCTTTCATGGTCAATACTTTCCTGCGCCCATTATTGCACAACAATACACAACAACCAGAGAACATGACAAATACATTTTATTCCATATTGTTTATCATTATTCAGCTCACACTCACGGTAAACGCACCGAAGTGACGTCCGACGATGAATCAAGTAATAACGATACTGCCAGCATTACTAGCGGTCAATCAGACAACAGGAGTTTACTGGCTGATGATGTTAATGACAATGATATCGATGAGCTCAGCCAGCAAGAGGTTTTCGAGGAGAAACTCAAGGAAGCTATCGATGGACTCTCGCAGAAGAGTGCCAAAGGAAGAACATCCTGTTTTGTCGGGGTTGAGAAGATATTTGCGCTTAAATATGTACCCGATTTTGTGGAGGATAGGAAAATGACCATCACCGATTGCATTGAGAGGGGACTGAAGAAAGGGAGGAGTGATGAGAGAGCCACAGCTGCCAGATTGAGCACACTCTTGTGTGTACAACTTGGGGCCTTCGAAAGTGCCGAGGCCGTTTGCAGAGACCTCAAGTCTACTCTTATATTCATTGCCAATGATAACACTGCCTCCACTCAAGCCAGAGCTGAGGTGAGTTCACCAATTTTTTGGACATTCATAAATTATAGATGACACGTCTGTTTATTACAGCGTCATTTCACCACAACGCGTCAATTCGTCATTGACCTTTTCGCTTTTTGTTATTCTATCACTTTATTATTTTGACATTTTTTCATTTGAACACACGGACGAAAAAATTTAATAGAAAAACCTATCGAATTAGTTGGAAAATTCTATTGAATTTCTATTGAACTGTTCTGTTAGTTTTTGGCCGATTCTATTGAAATGTTCAATAGAAAATATTCAGTAGAAAAAGTCAATAGAATTCAATTTTTCTATACAACTTATTCTATTGAAATATTTTCTATAGAATTTCCTCCGCTCAAATTTTCCAAGTTTTTTCTTTTGATTTTCTTGATGAGAAGAAAATAAAAATAGAATGAAAAAAACTTAGAAAATTTGAGTCGAGCAAATTCTATAGAAAATATATGAAAAGAATAAGTTATATCGAAATAGTAGATTATGTCATTAGGCGATAAAAGTATTATCTGGCGAATGTGGCTTCATAATCTGAGCCGAAGGCGAGGATTATAATCACATTCGTCAGATAATACTTTTATCGCCGTGTGGCATACAATATTTTATGTCATTGGGCCCGAAAACCGCAATCTAATCGAGCGAAGCGAGGTTAGAATCGCGGTTTATCGGGCCTAATGACATAAAATCGAATTCTGTTGACTTTTTCTCTTAAATGTTTTCTACTGAACATGTCAATAGAATCAACCAAAAACTAATAGAAAGTTTGATAGAAATTCAATAGAATTTTCTAACGCATTCGATAGGTTTTTCTATTAAATTTTTTCGTGCGCGCATAATTTATTTGAACACATTTGTGTATGACATCGAGTTTTACATGCAATTATTTGCATCAATTTAACTTATTGCACATGTAACCATTGCTTGTTAGCTGTTTTTCGTTCTCTCTGACTCAATACGAAATCCAGCGACGTGGTGATACCTGTGATCACGGCTATGGTTTTTTACGTACTGATTGTACTCTAATAGATAGCTATAAAGTTGGCTCGATTTTGTTTTAAATATTTATTTTGGTTTCAATAAATTGAATTTCCTGATGTGTTAGTTTTTGTTACATGGAGAGAATACGTGGTTGTGTTGATAATTACATGTGTTAAAATAGTGTTCGGATGAGTTGGCTTGTGTTGAGTGTGTATGTATTGAATTTATTGTTTGTTGAATTAACGTGTGTAGAGTTGATGTGTTTAAATTGTTTTGTGAAATATAGACATGGAGCCAAATTATATAGTGGATACACCGAGAAAATTATTTTTGCCAAATATCCATTTGCTTGAGAGAAGTATTTGTTTTTTCAATACCAGATTTCTCCAATTGAATCACTCCCAGGCAATTCTCATTAGGTAACGTGAGTTTTTGAGGCATATCTTCGAATATAAGGGAGATAACGAAATTATTGTATTGACATTTTCTGCAGAGAGAATTAAGGGTTACAAAAAAGGTCTTGACAAAAAATTTGCTATCGCCCTTAGATTGCGAGATAGTCATTGAAAACTGGTCATTCGTCCAATTCGACTTAAACTGTTTTGCCGCTTCACCACTGATGCCTAGAGCAGTGAATTTTCAACGAAAAAATTGTATTACTTTACGTTTCATCTGCTTAATTTTTTTCACCAGTGCACTCTGGAAGTTGAGCCATGTTCTTATCTGAATCGATTACATTTTTTTCGACGCGGTACGTCTGTTTTCATTATGGGGGGGGGGGGCATTTCATTTTATGGGGGGAAAAAATCCTTATGATTCCCTATCGGCAGTGGCGTCATCTATCGGAATCCTAGAACATTCTAGAATTTTTTCTTTAATCCTAGATTTTTCTAGCAAATTCCAGATTTTTCCAGGAAAGTTTTGATTTTTCTAGAAATTCTCTAATTTTTTTTTCGTTCTGACTTTGGCAATTTTTATTGAAAACCTTTAGAAAGTCTTCAGAGTCTTTCAATATTGCTGAGATACAAATACATTTCTTTTAAAAAAACAATCTGAAGTTGTCTGAGAAAGGATCTAAAATAAGGATCTAAAATAAAAGAATCACCTAAATGGGAATATGATGCTTCCATACCTTTGAGAATATTTTAATTAGCAGAAAAAATTATGTGAAGTCAAAATAACAAAACAAAGAATAAATCAATTAAGAAATAATTGAATGCAGCCGAAACCCCTAATTTCTGGACGACCGGGTCATATTTTTTTTATTTATTAAATGTCGATCAATAGAAAAAATAAACCCTAGCCTGGTCACCAAACGCGTCACTGCGAATTGGTCATCTGCGCGGGGATTCCCCGCCGTGGTATTTGGGCTTTAGCGTTGCCGAATTCACTCTACACTGTCCGGGCGCGTTTAACGAGTTTCCGGCAACGTCGCGTCATGGGTAATTTCATTTAACATGGAAACAAATAATTCGTCTGTTCGAAATAATTTTTCTTTAGAAATTTTGGGAAATATTCTAAAAACTACTGTAATTTTTTAGACACTTCAATTGACAAAGTCAATTTTTTTTTAATTTTTCCGGTTAGCCAGTCAATTGCAATTGAAGAAAAACAATGCGTGGCGGGATTTCCCTCATAGGGTGATCAATCTAGGGTTAATCACGTGATTATACACGAGTAATATTATTGAAAAATAAACTAATCAGTACAATTTCCATTTTATTATTTATGGAATATTCAATGGAAGTAAAAATCGTCCAGAAATTGACGCTACTTTGGCAATTTGTTCTCTAGTGAAATGCTTTTCTATTTTTGTAGTCAAACATAAGAGCTTTCATTGGAGCCTCATTTGACCCTAAGTTTCTGAACATTTTACAATGATTTTATTATTTAAACTTGGCAGGTTTGAATTGGAATCTCAATATTGAACTGTTAGAAAACATTTAAAAAATCTGACAACAATAGAAAGTTTACTTTTGCAGGAAGATTGATGAAATACGAGGATTTTCTGTGAATAATTTACAAACAATCAATTTTCCACTGTAAAAATCATTTGATTGAAATCGTAACAAATTTATTCATATTCAGAATTTTATCAGAAATCAATTTAATGCCTGAAAAAATAAGGTTTCCGCAAATTTAAACAATTCAAATTATTTATTTATAAACAACGGAAGTTAAAAAAAATAATAATTCTGTATAAAATGTAATTTTAATAGCGCTGAATATTCATGATCTTTTCAAATTTTTCGCACGCAATTTAATTGACAAATTGGATCATTGAAGTTGGGTCCATGAAATCACTTCACTTCATACAATCCTGCAGAGTTTATCAGTCTCAAGATGTCTCATTGAAACAATCTCAATGTTTAAAATTAAGTTGGAGAAAAAGTAAACAAAAATGATACAATGTTTTATCATAAAAAAATACTCAATTGCAGTAGATTGTGCAACATTTGTCTCAACGTCGTAACAGCAGTGTTCAATGCGCATCTAAATGATTGCAGGCGAACATTGCCTTTGGTCGTGAATCACACTATCATTGACTTTGCATTTATGCAGACATGAAGCCATTTTTTATTCTCCCTTGGATGATTACAGATAAAATTAATGCAGCAATTATTGAATGTGATCATCTCCATCACGATCAATTAAGTTGAAAGATCAAAAGCACCTTTTGAAAATTCAATCATCATCGTTGTTATTCCTCCAATATTTCATGAATTTTCTAACTTGATTTGTCGTCATGAAGATTATTCATTTGTAATTCAGGATGTCCAGCCGTCAGGGAAAAATCAGGGAATTACGACAACTTTCTGGAATTTAAAATTTGATGCTTATTTTCTTCAAGTACCTAAAATGTTGAGAATTCTGTTGACAAAAACCATTATCCTGGAGTTTGATCTCAAATTTACTTAGAAAACCGGGATGTTAACATCTTCTCGTGGGATGAGACTGGGAACCCACTTTTTTGGGGTTTTTCTATGGGAAATTATAAATTCAGGATTCTACTTTTTAAAGGAATTCTTGCATATCAAGATGGTGGAAATATTTGAAAAATACTCACTTCCAGCAATATACAAACTGCAAAAATACTGAGAGTTCCAACCTAGTCCGCTAGAGAGATGTTAGCACCCTAGATCACCTCCTAAAGGGAGATCTCGCTAAAATTGAAAAATCTTTGAAAATTCCCTTAGCCATACTTCCTTTATTGCGCAATTTCCATCTGATGTATATTTTTGTATTCCGCAATTTTCGTTAGACTCTGTAAAATAAAATTAAGTACCCACTTTATGTCATAAACTATGGATAGCCCACGAAAAAATGTTTCTTTCAATTCACTCTTTTTTGTATGTTCTTGCATAAGAATGTCTAAAAAATCCAGTGTAGCAGACAGACTAAATCTAAACGATTTATTTTTTCTCAATCCATTCTATGCAATGTAAAACAAATACTCAATTTTATTCTTTGAAGTCTGACGAACAATGAAAAACAAAACTGAATTGGATGAAAATTATGATCCAAGGAAAATGTTGAAGGTGAAAATGGGAAATGACGATGACAATTCACTAATGGGTCTTTTCGCCAATCGAAGATAATTTTATTTTACCGGTGTTTGCCCCTCAATTTCGTTCGGTAAATCAACTGTTTTAACTCTCTTAGGTGAATTTCAATATCCCCACTCTATGCCTTCAAAACGGAATGCTGGTGTCCCTACTAAGGCTTCTACTACACTTTTCACCTTAGAGTCTGTAAATTTAACATTCTTTCACAAAAAAAATGTTTTCTATGCTCAGGGAAATTCATCAATTTGACCGGGAAAAGTCAGGAAATTTTGTTGAAAATTCCAGGTGGACACCCTGTAATTTTTTATTAGTTATATTATCCCTCGCGATTTTTTAAATTCAAACCCAACCTGTTTGAGAACATTTTCATTCCCTCAGGGGACTTTACGCACTGATAACCCCAGTAAAATTTTAATCACTGTTTTTGTTATCATTAATTATCTGTTTTTTCAGTGTTGCTGGGCCCTGAGTATGAATCAATTTTTCTCCGGTAACGACGCCAGTGATACTGTAGAAATTGTCCATCTGTTATCAGCAATCTTTGCTGGATCGTATCTCAAAGGAAACGGAGCGATAGCTACAGTTTCCCCCGACCTTGCAGCCCTTCATGCCGCCGCCCTGTCAGCCTGGACTCTTCTCTTGACCGTCATGACACCTTCTGACATTTACAATTTCATGGCAAGCAGTAAACCCAGTAATTTCATGCCATCACTCGATCGCCTGCGGCAATTACTTGAGTCACCTCATCTTGATGTGAGAATGTCAGCTGGTGAGGCACTGGCTGTGCTATTTGAACTGGGGCGAGACTTTTCCGAGGACTATGAGCAGGATTGGGCATTGGAACTGGTAGATGTACTCAAAGAATTGGCGACGGATTCCAACAAATATAGGGCTAAGAAGGATAGGAAACAGCAGAGGGCTAGCTTCCGGGATATTCTTCGTTACATCGAGGTAACTTGTTGATCATTATTTGAATATAATTTAATATAATTAAACTAGGGGTCTACGCCCTCTGCTCACTCCGCTTGTAAAGCCCCATATAATCGTCATATGACCTCATTACCCTTAATTTTGGAGTCTTAATAATAATTTTTTCTAATCATAATTTATTTTATTTTATTTTAATTTTCTAATCATAATCATAATTTTTTCTTCAAGTTTTCTTCACGCATTTTAATTGACAAATTTGATGATTGAAAATGGTTGAATCTATAGTGTGGTCTGTACCAAACTGTAACAGATACCTGGATATCCTCAAATATTTCCTCACTTTCTCATTCCAGGAGGAGATAACACCGGAAATGCAAATACGGTTTGCGCAAGAAATACTCTATCTCGAGGGCTGGTGCTCCAGAATTCAATACAACGCCTGCTGTCGTCTCCTAGGACCGGGTATGAACATTCATTTGGCTGAAAATTTACTTCTCCGTGAAATATTTCATCTTGGTAATCGGGCAGTTCCAATGTCATCCCACAAATCAACTAAACGTGAGAGGACTTTGATGAATGCTGCTGCATTTAAAGCACGTACCATTCAACGTAATAAGAATCGTGACAAACGTTCGGCAGCTATGGCACAATAATTGGATCACTCTTTCCTCGATATTATTTAATTTTTTTAATCTTATATTCATTCATCACACCATTTATTTGATTATCAATGAGAAACATGTTACAATAATTGCACGACATAACTATTGGTATTGACTAAAAAAAATTGAAAAATATTTTTCGCTGGTCGCAAAATAGTTCAAGTGTACATAATGTGTATTTTCATGGATAAATTGTCTGCTACGATTTTTTTTGACCGATTGCCTTTTTTGCAGTCAGGTGAATATTTATTCATGTGATGATGATTGTCGACGAAAAAACATAAGCATTCACGGAATTATTGTATATTCTGATATCGACGATGTAGGAAATACAAGATAAGCCAACTTATCGCAACGTTTTACACTAGATATGTAGCTTAGCTGTTGAATTTTAAACATGGGTATTTATTTTGTGGGCAAACTGAAAATTATCAACTTGATTACACTTCGTAATAGTTGTAATTTAAATACGATAATTGAACTGTAATAAAAAAAAATCCAGAAAAAGTACATTCAAGAAGACCAGAGTCACATCATTCTCCCGTTGTTAGTAGTGCAGACTGATCGTTTGATTGATGAATTCTTTTTCAGACAGCATGTGCCACCTGTATCCTAAGATCTTTGATACCTCTCGTTCTGTGTCTTCGTAGGTGTGGCAATTTGATTTAATCCAATTTTCGTGCTCCTCTGACCAGTCGGCGAAAATGGACCAGTCTTTATCGCACTTTTTTAACACGACATTTCGACGAACATATAAATACTTCAGGGATTTGGCCACAGATGTTATTTCGAGGATCGTTGCTGTTGATATCTTGTCTCGAATCATCTGAATAAAATGGCATTTCACAAGAATGATAAGTCAGTAGCAGATCGTCAAAATAGAAGTCGACTGAGCGTTGAGGTGAATTTATGTTTAGATTGAAGGGATCAGTGACGAAGCGGTACACTGAGAGAAAAAGCTAGTTTTGACAATGAAGATTTACTTGATACAAGAAAATATTCTGTTGTCAATGTTAACGAGTAGGGGTTCGAGCCTATTCGAGAGAAGGCATATGACCGTGACTTTTGCGCCATTAGTCTTTTGCTTCTTTTTATTTCTACCAATTCTATTGAGAGTTAGCTTCTGAATGGATCCGTAATAATTCCCTGTCCTTGTGACAGGCATATAACCGTAACCGCATGTTACCGGGTGTCTACAGCCAAATATTCAACCTTTTCACGAAAAAGATTTATCCCAAAGGTTAAGGTTGCGCCTATTCAAAATATCAACCTTCAGTATTGTAAGAGCTATAATCATACCAAATTTTAACTTACTATTCCCATTTTTATTTCTCAAGTTATCGTGCGTACAAGATTTTTCATGAAAAACGAAAAAACGGCAATATCTCCAAACTGTGTATTAAAGAGTATTTATTCTAATTGACATACATAAAGGCCATCGAGATGAGTGTTTTGAAAAAAAATTTAAAATCGGTACAGTAGTTTTTCAGATATTGAGGAAAAATGAAATTTAGACAAGTTGTGATATCTCAGGAACTACTGGACCGATCGGGCTGAAACGGGGCGCCAAAGTTGAGCTCAATAATAGCTACAATGACCGAAAATTTCAGATTTTTATCTGCAAAATTCACCGTATTTATGTTAAATTTTCTAAAAATTAATCACCAAAAACACAAGTTCTCGGATACATACATACAGACATGACCCTAAAAACATCATTTCTTCACGTTTCATAATATTCTAGACCATTTGCAATCAAAATTAGAAAATCGAAAAATTGGTCAAAAACAAGGCTTTCATTCGGAAGCAAAAAGAATTTTTTTGTGCCAAACATGCAAAACCTGCGCCGAAATTGAAAATTTTTATTGCAAAAATAGATTTAGTCTTTCCAAAAAAAAATTCTCTGTGCAAGCGAGAAATGTAATTTCTAGCACTACTTCTTCGTTATTTGATGCTCCCATACGTATTTTGCTCCCGGTAAATGCTCGTTTTATATGGAACGAGGGATAGTAGCTTGTCGTTTCAGCTATTTAGTAATTGCAGGCAAAAAGTGAATTCTTAAATGAAATAATAATAATGATATGGCAGCAATGTTGTAACTTAGGGACAAAATATTTCATGCTAAACTTCCCTCTGTAAAAGATATTTTTATCCTGAAAAGGCACCCTCTTGTATGAATGATCCGCCTCTTGAGCCAAATATTTCCTTGTTGAAAGCAGAGTAACTATTCATGTTTGAGACTTTCAAATTCGAACCAAACAATTCAGTAGTGAAGCGGAAAAATGCTTCAAGATTTTGACTATTAGCTAGTTTTCAATGAATATCTCGAAATCTAAGGAACACAGCGAAATTTTCGTCATGCCCTTTTTTGCAGAGAAAATTGAGGGCTACGAAAAAGGTTTGTTTGAAATGCAGCAAATAAGTCATTATCTAAAGTTTCCAGGCTCAACGGCAAATCTCGACCGACTTCGGGACCCTTCGGGTTCACGGGCAAATCACGAAGCAAATCGCCAAATATGAAATTTCTGTAGTATCAATCTATTCTTCAAAGAGTATACATTGGTTAGTCAGAGAGTCACCTATCGAGTACAGTATCAAAGTAATCGAATATCGAGTACATCACCGAGTATTATATTAAGTCTAGCGCTCTGTAGCGTCCCTATTTCGTTCAATTATTTATTAATTCCGAGTTAACTATCAATAATTTTGAGTGAATTATCAAGTTTAATATCGAGAGAATATCTAGCGCAGTGTAAAGACTATTATCAAATTGACATTGAGACATTCACCAATTCGTGTTTACCTAGACTCAAGACGCGTGGCTTGCGCCACTAATAAAGTACATCACCAGTGTTTTTGTAATCTGCGTGTCTGTAATTTCACCCTTTCCATATCACGTGCTCCCAATCGGCCCTAATATTAGTCTCAATCCCTAACAAGGTTATTACCAAAATTTCGTTATCTCCCTTAGATTCGGAGATATTCCTCCAGAACTCGGCTAAGGGCTAAGTCGACAACCGTTTCAGCGCTTCGCTACTGAATTACTTTTTTGGTAATTTTCACCTAAAGATTTTGTTGACCCAAACAAGACTTGTTTGAGAACTTGTTCGTTTTTCTCTCAGTGTAGGACTGCAAACACATAATGACAAATAAATATCATTCCAAATGTCAAAGAAAAAATTCTGCTACCAGTGTGCTTATATGCGGACAGCTTCTGCAGAGTTGGACGAGATAGGTATCCATTCGATTGGAAAACTTCCTTGAAAGGTAATACTTCGATAAACCCTGCATTGCATATGTCGTCAATGTTGATCGAAAATTAATTGCCTGAGCCATTATGGTCTCTCTCGCCAGCTGAAAGATATAATTTTTCAGATCGTTCTTTCACCGCAATTTTCGTCAATCCTTACTTGCACCACGGGATTCGTTATAATGATACTGTGGCACGGAATTGCACTGTGCTCTGGAAATTCTAGGGGCAATGTCATGTCCGGCTTTTTACTCTCAACTTCAATATGAACTTGCAATTTTTTATTATTCTTCCTGACTTTGACCCATGCTTCATGTCTTGGCTGAAATGCAGTAATAATATTCTTTTATCAATAATAATAATCACTAATGTACGAAAAAATTATAGAGCATTCGCTGAAGAATTCTATCGAAATACTTCTGGAAAATTCATCAGATTTGCTTCTTCAAATATTCACGAAAAAAACATTTAATGTGGAAAAGTTAATATGGTACAGGTTTTATATATAAATCACTCTCTAGAGATGTTTTTGCAGAAATTTACCAGAATGAATTCTAATTCCAATTGCAAATCTAATTCTTGACTTTTTCCAAATGAAAAATAAGAAAAAATACAATGTAAGCAAGTGGAAAATTGCTCTTGTATTGTATATAGTGTGACGTGTGGAGATATTGACACGTCGATTTTGTTTAGTTAATATTTTATAATGAAATTAAGGCAAAAATGTCTGGGCTGAATAAGCAGTCCACGGTGACACTTGAGTCCAGCTTCTTGGGATGGAGCTGTTTGACTGTTGTAGACATTGTCAGTGATGAAATATGACTGTGTTAGTTACGAAAAACCGTGAGAATGCTTATTAAGCATTTCGAGCTAGCAATGGCTCCAAAGCTCTAGAGTAAGGCAGAGTACGGCAGGAGTTAAAGTTGGACGGATGTCCACTCCTGACCAAAAATGTATAGCAGACCCGCGTAAAAACCGAACCCGTTAAACAGTTGATTTGTAACTCATCCATCCATTATCCATATAATATGGTGTTTATTATTAATAAATCGGTAGTGTTCGGCTATTTGAGTACACAATACCTATCCCGATCCTCATCCTAGTCGCGTCACGTTGAATCTGAGCGAACTCCCCGTGAGCTCTGACGGTATAGCTAGCTGAGCATAGTTTTGAGTCGAACGGCGACTCAATTAAGGGAGGTAGAAAACCTCCCACGTAACAATAGTGTTGTTATTTTTGCTAATAAATTAGCAATATTCTTCCGAATGGTTATTTTGCACATCATTTCCTTCTATCATGTTTAATTCATTATTTATTTAACTTTACTAAATTGAATAAGATCTCATTTTACCTAATTTTACCAGATTTTCATCTAGTTGAATATTATCATCATCATTATTCTTATTATCCCTTTTCATCTATACAACCGATTGTCTCTTCTGAGTTCGATCTCTCCCCTCTCCCCTTCGATAAAACGTTAATAGAAAATGTTTATTTACCTGAAGGAATTTGGAACATCACATTTGAAACAACCATCAGAAAGCTCACTTTCAAGGAAATTCATGGAAAATTCTAAATTTTTGAACAATCATCATAAAAATTAAATCAACCAATATAGCTATTGTAATCATCTTTTAACTTCGACTGAACGGCATTAAAACAAACATTTTAAGCTATGATTGAATTCATTTAAAGCATGATATTCAAAGATATCCCCGGAAATCTAATTTTCAAAAAATACCTAATTTTAAAAATTTCCAAATAAATCAAAGTAACGATTATTGCTATCGCCTTCATCTTCGAACTCGATCAAAAGAACATCCAAACAAATTTTTTAAGCCATCATTCAATCAATTCAGAACATTTTTTGAAGTTATCGTAGGACAACTGATTTTCGAACAAATTCTAAAAATAAACAACTTATCGATAAATTAAACATTAATTAACGGCTCAACAATACCTACATTTGAAGAAAACATTCGAGCCATTCATTAGCGAACAATTAAAGACAAACTTTACCACACACACATACGTACGGCAAACGGCGCATAATTGGAATATAATGAATCGATATAACACAAAAAATTCAAAATTTAAATATGAACGATTACAAAAGCAAACGTTTAAAACAGGGTACGTAGTCATCGAAAATATATCGATGATTTTTCTATGGATTAATTCTGTAACAGATATTTCGAGGAAGAAAACTGTGTCAAAAAGCTCATAGAATTTCCAACAAAATTCTGTACAATTTTCTCTTGGATTTTTTTTCCTATGCGTTTACACTTGAATATTACCACTCACCAATTTGATCACAGAATCAGCTGGACTGTACCGGTTTTGTAAAATATGCAAATGTTCCAATTTTGTATGGCTAATCAGTTCCAGAACATCTTCATCCAAATTCTGAGGACTGACAACTAAAACCTGAGAAAATCATTTAAAAAAATAATTTGATTCAAAAGTAATCCTCCTTTTTCCAAATTATAATACACACACGGGAGAGAAAAATTCAATAAAAATTACCAGAAAAAAAAAACGTTAAATTTACGTTTCGAAACGTAATCCGCGAGCAAAGTAAAATTAAATAAAAAGTGTGAGTCAAAACTGAAATTGTACGAATCGCCACGTAAATTCTACGATTTGTTCCGTAAAAATTAACCACCCGTCTGATGATTCACCGTTGTGGGGACAAGTCGTTCCATAATTTTTCCCCAATGATTGAGAAATAACTCACCAGCTTCATAAAAATGGTTAAACATTCAAGAATTTGTGATTTTGTAGACAAAATAAGTCGGGAAGTGTCTGTAAGATTTTACCCCTCCGGGAAAAATTACGTGACAATTTCGTACTTTGTTCGGTGATGAACCTGAAAATTCTCTGAACGTTTCAGATTTCTTCTATTCCATACCTATAAAAATTGCCGGAAAACGATTCCCCATTGTGGATTACGTGAATTGTTCCATCATTTTTACTGAATATTTCTCTCCGTGCAATTTAAGTTTATTTCTCTCTGTAGCATTGATCCAATCGGGGATAAAAGTCACCTCTAAATTGATGAAAACTCCAACATGCAAGAGAGGACAATGAAACTTGGTAGCATTGATGAGTACAAGTTTTCTCAGAGTTTCCGTGCAATTGGCGCATATTTCATCCAAAAAATACAAAGCTTCCCGGCTATCCAGCATCAAGTCAATGAACTCCAGATACCTGAGACATTTCAAATTCTGCGCAAGTCTTTTCACAGCTTCCAGAAGCTTTCCCCCAGTCCCAAAGATCTTAATTTGCTCTGGATCATTGCTGTTGGCCATATTGCAGGGAAACGTGAACTTCAAGTGCCGAATTTGAGTGCCAACGCCAGCCAACGATGGATCATTCGAATGTTGATTCTCGATGTACCAAGAAATCATGTTCATGAACTCGTAAAGATTATAAAAATTGTACATTGGTTCGAAAGTGAGAGATCGAAAATTTCTTCCAACTTTATTCAGGCATGTTGAGGTTCTTATGTGATCCAAAACATACTGCCATCCACTGTAGTAATTATATTTGCCTCTGGTGAGTGTCATATCTTCCAAGGTAAATTTTGACCACACATTGGGTAATTTAAAAGCTCTGTACCAGCTTCTACAGACCAAGGATGCATAGTAACGTTCTCGAGTTGTTAAATATGAGAATATCTCTTCCAAAATTATGTCTGGCACTTGGTCCCAGGCACTGTAGACTTTGCCTTCCCCCGTTGCATCCTCTTCGTCAATGTCGATGTAGAGAGCTGGAAAATATTTTTTTTGTTGAAAAAGTTTTTCATTCAAAAACTAATTATTTGTGGCCGTCCGCATGATATCAACTTTCTCGATGTGAAGTTGTGAAGGCACTGATATTATTTATTTCACATTCCGCACATTTCGGGCCAAAAATTACCTTGAAAAATGACATCGCTAGAGAATACAAAAAAAAACTAATTTCAAAGTATTCTATTTCAACATACGAAAGTTTCGTGTTTTTCCACGAGTATCGAACGATATTTTTCATCACAATGTGTGGAAAAGAGCCGTTTTAGGCACACGAAGCGTGCCTAGAAAGTTACTTTTTCGCACGGCGGGATGAAAACACTTTTACGCACTTGTATCGAAATATACTATTTTCGGGAGTAAGATACGTGTGGTAGTGTAGAATAGCAAACAAGTAGTGCTAAAATAGTATATTTCGATACGAGTGAGACGGATTTTTCACGAGAGTGAAGTTGGCGGCCCGAGGCGAAGCCGAGGGGTACCAATCACACGAGCTGAAAATTCCTGTCTCACATGTGTTGAATAATATTTGTTGATAGTGATGTTCCGTTCAGTGAGTGGCCGAACTGTACCTTTTTCATTTAGAAGTAAACGAAAAGACTTTACGAGCAAACGAAAAGTCACTTTTCGATACGAGGTGAATGTATCAGCAGTGTCAAAAATGAAATGACTTTTAGACACGGAAAATAATAATCATTTGGAATAACTAAATCCATTTTTGCAAAGAAAATTTTTCATTTCAGGACACTTCAAATGTTCAGAACGAGATTTTCTATCCTTGTTCATTTTTAACTTGCGATTTTCTTGTTAAACAACACTTGTTTCAGCACCTATTTTTCTCTAATTGCTTAATTACTGATTACGATTCACTACGTTTTAAATGATAGAAATATTCATTTTTCGTTTTTTTATTGAAAAACTTTTGAATATAGTGTTGAGTATTTCGTGTTTTTTGTATCATCTACTATTTGGATGCAGAAGGAAATTAATAGTCTCCTTCAGAAACATGTAAATCATGGCTGATGAAACGACTCGAAGTTCTATCTCTATTTGTGTTCAGAGCTGGGAAATAATCGGCGTAATTTGAAAGGTTCGTTCACTGAATTATTTGAACTTTAAGAAAAGCGGCGAGATACTTAACCAAGGTGGAAAGACATTCTAAAATATTCCGTTTACATCTGGATAATTTTAGATCATCAGAGATTTTACAAGCTGACGAAGAAATGAGCGAAAATAACACCACGTACCTTTCTCTTGTTCATCAAATTTCCAGCCACCCTTATTCATTCCCATTTTTCTTTGTTCATAATAATCGCAGCAAAAACTTTTGCGATGATTTATTCTATTTATAATTCGTGAGAAACTGAAAAACGACTGGTGGATCTTCACAGTTCAGCAGATTTTTGTTCGTGGAATTTTCACGTGGATTTTATATGGAAAACCGCACGCCGATTGAACTCTGCCCGGTTTATTTTCGACCTTTTTCACGCACATAATATACGTATAATGACATAAATAGCAAAACGCGACTCGCTTTTTCCAATTCTCTTTGTGTCTTTACCTCTTACGTTTAATTGGCCCGATGTTATGTTGGCCGTTCGTTCTGAGAGCTGCCAACATAATGAAATTCAAAAGTTTTGAGCTTTATCTCATTGATAAACCAGAGGATAAAAAATTTAAAAAGTTGAAAAGTTTGAGAATTTCTGTAGAAACAATTTCACAAACAATTTATTAACAAATATTCCACCTTTAATTACTGATTAATTGAGTAATAGAAAGTTTTTATTTCTGATTATCATAATAGGGTTAATGACATTTCAATAACTATTGTCCATTGTCACAATAATGAAAATTTTGACCGTCCATATTACCCATTAATCGAATAATGAAGTGTTCTCGATTATTGATTAGATGGGTATTTTGAAATATTTTCGATTTCATTATTGATTGAATGACTATTCTAGAATATCCAAGTATAATTATCGATTTGATAAGTAATATGTATTTTCAAATATGATTACTCATTGATATGGGGTTTTAAAAATGTGAATTTTTCAATACCCATTCATAATATAATGAAAAATTATTTCCACGCTATGCACGGACAGAAATGTTCAGTAAAAATTACGGAACGCTCCGTAAAAATTTCGTAAAATTTCCTACAACCACATTTCGCTTCGGAATTATGGAAAAGATTCGTAATTTTTATTGAATATTTCTCTCCGTGTGAGTGACGAAATAAAAAATACGTATTTGCGGTGAAAATGATATTTGTGCCGATCTCCTGGTGATAGAAAATGATATCAAAGAGAAAATAATCTGACTGTAACCAGCCATCAGTCAAAGGCCTTTATAACAATTGTTATGCAGCAGGTAATGAAGTGACTCCATTAGCCGCTGTATAACAATAATGAACTTCATCTCAAATAAAATAAACATAGAATCGAAGAAAAACCAAAATTCTATTGTAAGGGATAACAAAAATCGAATACTATAACAAAAATCGAATCAATGTGAAACTTTAATTTTGGTAAAACCTGCTATATAGATTATTATAAATAACCCCATAAGGGTCGGCACTCATATAAAAAAGGAGGGGAAGTCTTGAAAACCTCAGGAGAAAGGTATTTTCCATTCGAAGGACTACTTTATTTACAAAAGTATAAAAATCTATGTCAATGAGAACGCTGGTAACTATGATACAACGAAGAAGTAATCGCTGGCCACACAATCGATTCGATCCAATCGAGGTAATAGGCAACGCGCGTGTAAACTCCTGGGAAATCAGGCGTTCCACACAGTTTTCCAAAACTCGTAATCCCAACGATTACATGCATACAAGTTTCCACGTTGTAGATTTGAAGGGGCCCTCCGGAATCACCATTACACGTATCTCGCTTCCATCCACCACGGGGGTCACCAGCACATAGCATACTAGGAGCAATGCCATGTGGAATTGCAATTGTTCGTTTGTATGCTAGTGCACAGGGTAGAGTGTCGATTATCTCTAACTTTACTTTATGTAAATTATCCTGAATTTGTACGTCACCTGTAATTCGGGAATGGGATAATCCATTAAAATAAAAGCAACCACGCACGAAAACATTTAATAGAAATTACAATTCTATTGGATTTCTATTAAAGTAGCTCTACCCTTCGGCGGGGCTACACTGTACTTTTGGATATTTTCAGTTTTTTAATTTATCACCTAAATTGCATGGAAAAAATTTGAAAAAATTCATATCGTCAGTATTATCTAAATTAAATTTCACAAAATATTGATATTTTTTCAAACATTTCCCTCTTAAATAATGAAACTTGTTTGCAAAACGGTTGATTATTTTTTGTGAGGTGTCAAAAAAATTCTTGATTTTTTACATCTAATGAAAAAAAAATTCAGATTTTAACCTTTGATTGTAATGGAAATGCTGATTTTGAAACATTTCTTCTTTGAAAAACCAAAACGATAATTAAATTGAGAAAAAAATGAGAATTCCGAATCTAATCGAGTTTTCTGCAATTTAGTTGCAGTTTTCAATAATCTTTGAATTTACCGTAAGGGTAGAGCTACTTTAAACTTACTATTAGCTTTTGAGCCATTTTATTGAAATGTTCAATAGAAAATCTTCTATCTAAACAAAAGTCAATAGAATTTGATTTTTCTATACAACTTCTTTTATTGAGATATTTTCTATAGAATTTCGTCGGCTCAAATTTTCGTTTCATTCGTTTTTTTTTCTTTTTGTCAAGAAAATCAAACAAACAAACTTGGAAAATTTGAACAGAGGAAATTCTGTAGAAAGTATCTCAATAGAATAAGTTATATAGAAAAATCCAGTAAAATTGTCTAGCGAATTCGCTAGGGTTTTCTATAAAATTCTTTCATACGTGATAGAGTAAAGAGGCCACCAAATTAAACTCTAGTATATGATAAGTCAATACCAATGGCCATATGCTTCCGAAATACTCAAGTTTCTTCATTTCCGACAAATTCAATATAAATTACCAAGTTTATGTTTACAACGAAGTAAAAAAGAAAAAATAATGAATAAATCAAAATAAATGAACGATCCAATGAATAAATGAATTAGTGAACATTTATAGAAATAAAACAAAACAAAGAGACAAGAATTTTGACGTTTAATAGATAGAAGTCAATAAATAAAGTCAAATAGAGTTCATTTCTGTATCGACATATTAACAGGGACAACTAGAATTTAAAAGAATAACTTGTGTTTATGGTTTGAAATGTGATATTAATGACACTGAACCCATTCAACGCTCGCGAAAAATTTGACGGCTTTGCTACCGAAATAGCGAGGAAGGCAAAAATTAATTGAAATATCTGAATAATTTGTAATTACCAAATTGTAAGGATCCCCATCCAGTTGCCCATACCGTTTCCGTTACACCACCGAATCTTGAGTGCAAACATGCTGGGCTGATGGTGTCAGAAAATACAACAGGTCTCGCGAGTCTCATCAAAGCGATATCCGCGTACAGCTTGGGGTGTTTATATTCGGGATGTCGAACGATTTCAACCACTCCAATGATTGTACCTGATCTGATTGCACTTAGACTGGTTGTTCCCAACCGCGCTACCCCACGTTTCTTTCTAAACATCAACATATTTTCAAGATCAATCCGGTGGTCATTTATAAAATTGACGAAAAGGGGAAACCTAACAAATTCACTAGAGGCTAAATGACGCAGAGGAGCAAGAAAAATTACGTGTCATAGGAAATTTATTCATTAGTTAATTACAGATCCTGTTAATTTACAAGTGCATTTATTCAAATTGTCAGTTAACATTTACTACCTAAACTACTCTGCTGGCCAGCAATTACCACTAATTATCCAACCAATTCCTATATAGCTTGCTACTATTTCACCTAAACCTAAGCATACTCCTCTTGAAGTCTGCCTTCAATCGAAGTCCAGAGTTCCGTACAATATTCTGGGGTTTTGCCCGCCCCAGAGAGGCACCGGAAGGCCCGTAGGTAAATACAACTGGACGAGAGGCAGTGAACACCTTCTCAGAGGGTTTGCCGACTGTCTTATTGTTAGTTGTTCTCGTGATCGGCCTGAGGAGGTCGTAAGCAAGCATTTTCTCCCTTTTGATATGGCGTCTGGCGGTGGTCCTCAGTCGAGAGTCACCTCGGCAGACGTGATGCCATCTCCGGGATACTCGAGCTGCGTTCAAGAGTGATTGGGGATCAAGCTGTCTGAAAATCAACTGCGTCACTTCTACTGGTAGATTTGCAATCGGATCCATGTTGGGTTTGCCAACACCAAACAGGCGCATGAGCTTTCCAAAGAATTCCATGTTGCTACTACTGAAAGAAGTTACAGAATGGCAGTTGCTCGCCGGGCGACGCCCTTTATACCTGCACCCCCACTCCCTCCGACCCCCCCCCCCCCCCCCCCC